GGAAGATTGGTCTTGGTTTCTGAGCCTTTTACGTTTTCATGTCACACATAGGCACGGTATTTGCCTAATATCTGATCGTCATCGAAGCATCATAAGGGCGGTCAAAGATCACGCAGGGTGGCAGCCTCCATATGCTTATCATGTTTTTTGTCTACGTCACATTGGAAGCAACTTCAATACCAGGTTTAGGAATGTGGAATTGAAGAAGACGTTGATGAAATTAGGTACTGTATCCTATAATGGTTCACATATTTATTTTGTCATCTTAACTCACTAATTGCATATGTCATTAATGATTTTGCAGGGTACACATGTTCAAAGATTAATTGGTATCCTATAATGAAATTAGGTACTGTATCCTATAATGGTTTTTCTAACTCAGCAGCTGATCAACCCTTTTTTTGGCAATTTCAGTGATTGTTATTTGATAATATGATACAGGATGACTTGTTGACCACAGAATTGGGCACATACTGTAATCGGATAGGTTGATGTGCGCGAATGAAATTACAAGGTATGCACGTTAATAATAGACATCGAATTTACTTCAAAATTCATTCAAAACTTGGAAAATACAGTACAAGTCAGATAACACCAAATTTCATAACTGGGTTCTTCATATATTTAAAAAACTACACGGGAACATCATCAGATAAAACCCTATACCACCAAAAAATGGGATGCATACATACATTAAGATCCAACTTACAGCCTAACAAAATACATAAATCAAATCTACCCCAGCCATGTCACCCTAAACCCTACTGCCTGGAATCCGAATGTGTATCCTGGTCATCGTCGTCGTCCTCACCAGCCTCATCACCTATGTCATGACCCCCTGCTGATCCACCCTCCAAGCGTGTCATCCTGCTTTCCATCGTTGTTCGCCACTTGCTTGTACTCTGTCTGTAGCCCCTAAAATCACTCATCACGGCGTCCTGTCCACATGTCAAGCGATACATGGAGGCCATCACATGATCAAATGTCCATCCTCCCTCAGGAGCTGTCCATCCCCCCTCAAGTGATGGTGGACCTGGTGGTCGCCGTGTGCGGCTGCGACGTGCAGGAGTGGGATCAATAGCATGGACAACATCATCTGAGTCATCATCTTCAAGTCCTGCATCAATGTCATAAAAAGTAGACATTAAAATATGGATGGTGCAAAAACATTAACCCTACTGCTACCCTAAATCCAAAAAACATTTACCTGCACCTGCATCCTCCATCTGAGCATCGTGCTGAAGGGGGACCTCTGGTGGTTCAGGTGCCTTCTTCCAGTACCACACACCTGCTGGGCTCTGCATAATCCCGCATTGCTTCAAAAGGCGCTCCCCAAAGATGGCATTCCATCTTGTGGCTGTCTTCATGGTCTCGGTTGCCATAGGAACACCAAATCTGTGCAAAATCTTCTGGACCAGGAATGCAAATGGCAATTCAGCCTTTTTTGACTTGGCCGCCTTCCACATCAAGATGCATATGTAGTGCCTCCAGTTCACCTTCATATGGTGAAGGAGGGCCCACAATATCACAAAGTCACCTTCCAGCACCTTCGAATGATTATGAGGGCGCTGGAAAATAATGTGGGTCACCACATAATGAAGTATGCGGGCAGACACGGACAAATTGCTGATAGGATAATGAGCAAATTGTCCGGCCTCTGCATCTTCCCTCTTGGTCTCAGCCACAACAACCTCCCTATCATAACCACCAAATATATGATAGCTGTCTCCGTCATATAGTGCTGACCTCGTCTCCTTGTTGAAGTCAAATCCCAGCAACTCTGTCCACATAGGAGCAGTAAGGATGATATCAATCCTGCATACACGGGAAGTTAGCTCACCATGCACATAGCCCAGGTTCTGGTAGAATGCTCGCACCATGACCTCTGAGTACGAGCACCTCATCTTCGCAAGCACCAACAAATGTGTTTGCTGAAGAAGTGGGACTATGTCGAACCGCTCCAAATTGAAGAATGCCGAATCCAGTGATTTCGGCTCACAAATTTTTCGGCTCATGAAAAACTTCACAAACCGCTCGTGTGCACCAGCGTCATCCTCAAATAAATATCCGAACGGCAGGTCCGGAGCCTGATGCACAACCTGGGGCTGAGAGGAGGAAGATACATCATGTCGGTGCTTGCTCCTCCCTTCAGTATTCACCGCTCTCTTCTTCCCAGCGCGTCTGTCCTCCATGCAATCACACTGTAAAACAAAATTAAAAAAAAAAAAATTCAATTTCAGAGAATATGGGTAAACAGGTTTAGGTTTAGGGTTAGGGTTAGGGTTAGGGTTAGGGTTTTTTATTAGCAACAAATCAGAATGCATTTTGAAAACGAAAATTAACAATACGCAAAGCAATAAATTAAAATGCAAACATGATTACATCAAGGTCAGACCGAATTTTATGATGAATCAGAAATTCAAACGGAAAAAAATAACATATCTTGAAATTTCAATCGGTAGAAGGAACCCATACCGTACATCAAGGATGATGACAAAGTCTTGAGATGATCGATCAAACGTGCTCCCAGAATGGACGAAATTGCACTTCAGTAGCTCTCTACCCGGGTACCCTTTGTAGGTTTTCCAAATTGGGGCTGCTGGGGTTTTTAAAAAACCCTATTCGCGAAATCTACTCGGGTACCCCCTTACCTACCCGGGTAAATAATTCAAAAAATTTCCAGATTGAAGAACAATACCCGAGTACCCCCCTACATACCCGGGTATGGTTGATTTTTAAAAAAAATACCCGGGTATGGAGTGGGGTACCCGGGTATGTTTCGTGGTCAACGGTCAAACAGGGGCAGATTGGTGTTATGTTTGTTTGGAGGGTTAATTTTTCATAATAGTATCTAATTGAGGGCAATTTGGTAAATAATTATTAATAAAGGGCTACAGTGGTCAAAAAGCCCTGAATAACTTATAATTTTACCTTATAGGTCTCTCCCTCTTTTTTCTTAATTTTTTGGGTAAACTTCAAAAAACCCCTACAAGTTTTCTCAAAATCACTTACTCTCCTCCCTAAATTTTTTAATCATTTACCCCTCTATTTAAAATTTCTTTATCACTTACCCCCTAATTTGATTTTCCATCCAAAATTACCCTTAATAGAAAAAAAAAACATAATTTCCTCACAAACGCAATATTAGACGAATTCACGGAATGTTTTCTTTAAGGTAGCCTTGTTAGAATTAGTAATTATTAAAATTGTTTCTTGCAAATCTCATTGCTATTAAACACCACACTCATAATTGTTGGTGTCGTTGTTCAAATAAAATTATTAAAAAGGTATCATCTCAGCAGGTTTAGATCTTCCCTTTTCTGTTATAAGCTTTTATGCTATTATATGACCAACAAATCTAATTTTATAAATTTATTCAGAGCCGTACTTTATTTTGCTTGCACAGCAACTGAAAAGCTTTACATTCTGTGCTTCATATATGTTTTGCTTTTCCCTTAATCATGTGATATTACCAAGCAAACATGCCGAATGTGCTATTTCATTGTTTTCTGTGTCGTTGAGAGTAGAAGGAGGATTCAATCGTTGATTTATATTCATGTCTTGCTTATGTGAGTTTGTCTAAAACTGCGTTTCTGAGGAAATTATGTTTTTCTTTTTTCTATTAAGGATAAATTTAGTACCTTTTAAAAAATTTAACTCTGTTAACAAAATTTTGAATGAAAAATCAAATTAGAGGATAAGTGAAATTTTTTTTAAGAAAGGTGTAAATGATTAAAAATTTCGAGAAGAAGGTTAAGTAATTTTAAAAAAAACTTGTAGGAAAATTTTTGAAGTTTTTCATAATTTTTTTTCTACTCTCTCTCAACTTCTTCTTTAATTTACTCCTCCTCGTATTTTATATATTTTCTTCTTTCCTTACCTTGTCTGTCGGCGCAATGTACCGTTATCGTAACAATTATGACTCTCTATTACTCTAGCTTTTACAATTATGCTCCTATTATGTCTATCTCAATTATGTTCCTATTATGTCTGTTCTAATAATAATTTATTAATTTTGTCCATACTATGTTCTTTTCAGAATATAGGTAATATAGTGTCCCAAACTTTAGGTTTTGATCACTAGTTCATTTCGTAAGAAATTAATTTTTATGATTTTAATATGCCATTTAATAATTATTATTGCAAAAATTATTTCAAAATTAAGTAAAATAAAAAGATATAAAAAAATTAAAATTATTCTGTATCTTATGGAAAAGGGAACGTAATACATTTAACATTGAAATATAAAATTAACATATATAAATAAAAAATAGGCAGGAAAATAAAATAATAATATAACGTACAATTAAGCAAACTATTTTTCAACTCTCTTGATTATTCTTGTATTTTAATGTCTTATTTAGTATAAAAAAAAATTATACAAGAAAAGTTCATTTTAACAAATGATCAAGATTATAATTTTTTTTACCAACATAAGTTAATCTAAACATCCACTTAATAAACATTAAATTTATTTGTATTTATTATTTTCTTTTTATCTTAATTGTAATTAGATTTATTTGTAATGTTATGTAATTTAATTGTGACATTAATTTTACTTTCACCGTCATTCAAAGTTGAAAACGAATTAAATATTTTTAAAAATAAAAGGATATTATATGTAGAAATCAATCTTATCTTATATATTTTATGGGTTATATTGATTTCATTTTACATGAGATAAACAACTCTTCTACGTATATAAAAAGGATTTGGATCTCATCACTCTTTTTTCTCTCTCCTCTTATTTGTGGAAACCACTTGTACTTTTATTTTTACAATATAAAATAATTTTTTTACTGCACCATAAAAAAAATATATTCCATATTTTATTAGCATTTTGCAAGATAATCATAATTACGGGACTCTGACTCACACACAGACCAGACCTTATCTTCTTTTTATTGACTTAAAATTTCGGAACCCAACAACGTTATTTTTGTGCTTGCAATTGCACTTTTTGTTATTTGTTCATTGATCCCTATTCCTCAAACATTTATCATTGGTTTCGAAAGCTTCACAATTTACTTTTTACAACAAAATAAGTCATTTTTTTATGGTTGAGATTTCATAGAATTGTTTTAGAACCATAGGAAAATCAAATTCATCACCGTTTGATTGTTGATGTTTCTTTCATCTTCCTCGTACATGCACTCCACAGAGCAAGCTTTGAAGCTATTGAACTTCTAGGCATACCCAATTGCCTCAACTTCTAAGCCACGAATTTGGGATACACCCAAGATTCGAAAAGAGAAGAACTTGCTCTAATTCAAGTTAAAATCTATTTTGGGTTGTTAGTTGTATCAGTAAGTTTCTCACATCATAATCACTTCATCAATAGACATGTCAACCTGTGTGAGGAGATTTGGAAAATGGGTTTCTTTGGTTTCCAAGAGGGGATTTTCCACCACCACCTCCTCATCCTGCATTCAAAAGGGTGCTGCTGAGGAAGGTGTGAAATCATTGAACCTTTATTCTGCCATTAACCAAGCTCTCCACATTGCTTTGGATACTGATCCTCGGTGGGTGTCATTATCTTTTTTCATTTTTTTTTTATATTTATATCTTTTGCCTTATTCTATGTATGTAGACACACACACACACAACTTAGAAATATTATTCAACCCCAATGTACTTGGTTTATCAGTTATAATTGTTTCAAACTGTTTTCAGTTGCAATCTTATGATTTAGTCTATCATATTTTTTTTTGGAGATTTTTCTAATTTCTGTAGCTAATAAATCAAATTACGTGATGAAATGGTTTGAAAATAGCTTTAGTTTTCCCAATCACAAAGTCACAGAAAAGAAGCTGGGGTGGGAGATCAAGGGTGAAAGAAACATTGAGCTGTAATATCTAACATCATTTCAAGAAATATTCAATTCCGGGGCTCTTTTTTTTTATTGTTTAAGACTTGATCTTTACTTTAGCATAGGGGCTTCTAGTAGGAAAGTGGTTATATAGGTACTATACAGGATTGAATAGCGAAGATTACAAATATTTGCTAGTAACTCCGAAGTCTCAGTTTTTGAGATTTAATGGAATTGTAAATTGTCTAATGTTAATCAAACTCTTTTTACTAAGGTTGCTATTGGAAGCTTTGCATTTGAGCACCTGAATGGACAAACTCTATTCAAGTATTCGTATATTATACGTGTCGATGAAACTTTAGCGTGTTTGTAAAGTTGTATGAGTCTGTCTCTTTTAGTATTAATTCATTTGGTGAACTAAAATTGTTATGAATTGTCTCTGTTACCTGTCAAACTTTAAAGTTCTATCAGTTGTATTACTATAATTTGTTTTCGCATCTTCAAATTTCCTTATGTGAAACTATATCTGTGGCTTATTTGATTTTATATTTGTCAACATAAATATCCTGTGTACATCCTTATCTTGTCTTGCACTTCATCCCAGTGCTTATGTTTTTGGAGAGGATGTAAGCTTTGGTGGGGTCTTCCGTTGCACAACCGGCTTAGTAGACCGATTTGGTAAACATAGAGTTTTTAATACTCCTCTCTGTGAACAGGTATTTATTATGTGCTTTATGTTGTCTCTGCACTTCCACTTTTCTTTCTTTATTTCCATTTTTCCTTGTAAATATATATAAATTTATGAAGGAGTATGAAAACATGACTCCCAAATCTCAAAAGGAATTTCTAGGAAAAACAAAAAGAGCATTTTAGAAAAGGGTTTGATGGAATTTCCCCCTAAAATTTTCCCCAAATAATTTGGTTATGCATTTCACTGAATTTCTTCTTTTTATTACTATGTATCTTACTAATTATTTCTTTAATTAGTATATCCTTAGCATTGTTTTAAAATTTTTATATTTAAATGCTACTCTCAGGGTATCGTTGGCTTTGGCATTGGTCTTGCAGCAATGGTGAGTCTGTGAGGTCAAAATAATTTACTTCTAGTTCTACCATCAAATCTTACTACAGTCTAATATAATTAATTTTTTTTCATATATCGAGTTAAAGCTCATGGTAAAACTGTTCCTTCATGACTGAAAGGTCATGGGTTCGAATCCAGGAAACAGCCTCTTTGCAATTATGCAAGGGTAAGGCTACGTACAAGGATATCCTCCACCCCACACTCGCTAGTCGGGTTTAACGGGGAGTGGTTTTTTATATCGAGTTAAAGCTCCTTTTTTATTTTGCATAACAGGATAATCGAGCCATAGCAGAAATCCAGTTTGCAGATTACATTTATCCTGCTTTTGACCAGGCATGCTCCCTTCCTATGACTAGGTTTAGTCAAACCTTCTTTTCATCAGGAATTGACCAATTTTGGTTTCCAGATTGTCAATGAAGCTGCTAAATTCAGATACCGGAGTGGAAACCAATTTAATTGTGGTGGTAAATTTCTTTCACTGCCTTAGTGTTGAAGTTTCTGGCTTATCTCTATATTTTCACTGGTTGCATTATAAACTTCTACACATTCTTATAGGTTTAACAATCAGAACCCCTTATGGAGCTGTGGGCCATGGTGGGCATTACCACTCCCAATCCCCCGAGGCTTTCTTCTGTCATGTTCCTGGTATCAAAGTACGGTGCTTCCATATGGACTTCAGTATGATAGTTAGAAACTTATATTTCTATACTTTGGTTCATTATACCTGTTTTTGAAATAATAAAGCCTACCAACAATGTGTTGTTTGACCGTTTTATGGACAGTAGATATGTTCAAATTACTAAGTCTGAGGTAGCGTGGCAAGTGTTGAAATCCATGTGCATAACAGCTCACTCATCTTAGGGAAGAATTTTTTGACTTTTTTATAAAGGAAATTGTTCTGCAACCACTGGAATACTTTTGTAATGTACACTGGGATTATTTGGTGCATGGAATATGACATTGGGAATTTATTCCGATTTTGAATTTTTTGGGCTGTTGGTAAAAGTGTATATTTAAGGGTAAACTACAATGTGCTCCTCGAAGATATGTTTAAGTTACTCTGTCTTCCTCTCTATTTTGAAAAATTACACTTCTCCTCCCGAGAGAAGAAAATGTGCTACCCTTAGAAAATGTGCTACAGTTCAGTCCAGTTTAATATAAAGGAATCTCTTAGCAGTAGTGAACAACTATGACTGAGTCTCCCAAGGGCAGCTAATTTTGAACATTTACTATCGACTTTGGGACTCTAGAAGATGAAATGAAGTTTTAAACACTCCTATTATTAGTTTTGGGACTTCGCTCAAAATATTCATTTCATCTTCTAAAGTCCCAAAGTCTATAGTAGTGGTTGAAAACTAATCACTAATGATGCTGAGAGTCACCTAGAAAGAAAAACAGCCCCTAAAAGGCTTGTTTACGTTAAAATGGACTAAAGTGTAGCACTTATGAATCTCTCATGGAGGGGAGTGTCATTTACCCTATATTGAATCTGGGATTGCTTGGTTATCAAATTGAGTTTGGTTATTTAAGAATTGCTTTGCAATTTATATTGTGAACTTATTCATTAATTGATAATTGAAATTCTATCTTATATTTCTTCCTCCTCAATATCTTTCCTTTGTTCTTTATTTCCCTTGATTTTCAGTCTCTCTCTCCCCCCTGCCTCTTATTTTTGTCTTTCCTTCCCTTTTTCTTCTACTTGTTCTGCATCAATTATGACTACCAGTAGACTGGTGTTTGTGTAAGAGAGAGAGACACAGACCATATGTTTTCTAGAAATGGGGTAAAATAATTGTATATATATGCTTGCAAAATTATTAAAAAAACAGAAAAGATTAATACTTTTAAAAAAGGATATAGAATGGTGGGAGGGATAGTAACAGAAAGAAAATCATGCAAAGAAGTTAAAGACAAAGTTTCTTGAATTGGTGTGACTTCTGAAAAGAATGGCAGTCCTGTTATTGATGAAATTCATGATGAATACATTTTCTGAACTTAAAAAGTAAACAACTTTTTGCCTAATGACAGAGGACAACGATGGAGTCATGGTTTCAAGCATAGAATTATGATTTTTTTTTATTTAACTGAAGGAAACCTCGGGATTGAAGGCCTATTGAAGATAAATTCGGTTAAGGGTGTGCCTTAGCTTATGATACCACTTTTAGGCCCATCAGCTTACAAAAGGGTGGTGTTTAAGGACTGACATTGGTTGTCTGGGGTGCTTTGGACATTTATTGCAAAATTAGTTTTAAGGTTTGGTGAGTTTCAGAGAAAAAAAGAAGAAGAAAAGAAAACCCACTCTCCGTTAAACCCCGACTAGCAAGGATGGGGTGGGGCAATCCTTGCACGTAGCCTTACCCTTGCATATATACAAAGAGGCTATTTCCCAAATTTGAACCCATGTTTCAAAGTATTCAATTAAAAAAAAATGGATTTGAAGGAAAGAAATTTTTAAGTCTGTTTGTTAATGAGAACAGGTCCTAATGGGGGTAAGTGAGGTAACGAAATGCTAGTTCTTTAGGGATGCAATTAACATGGGCTGAACCTTGCATTTGTAATACCTATACCTAACTTCAAATGTGTAGAACATATGTTATCAAATAAAGTAACCCAAAAATAATGAAATTAATATAAGCACCCGGCATCATACTTTCCTGGTTGAAGAAGCCTGCCCTCATGTTTTGAATAGTTGATGCAACCATAAGTTATTGAAAGGTATGCTTGGTGGTGGAAGGCATTGATGTTGAAACTGACTGCTTGTCGGAGCATCCTCGCCCCATGAAGAATAATTTAAATCTAAAATAGTTAAAAGTCATTATCCAATCACAGATGTTAATGTCTTATAATACTAGTTCTAGGATTGAGGCATATATTTTAAGATTTATATTCATGGATACAAGTTGCCAAGGAATTGCTTCCTATTGATATGAAAATTGTTGAATTCATAACCAATGACTTTAAAGCATTTTGTTAGAGAAATATAAAACCATTAATGTATCTTTACCAAATTGCTTAAGCTTTTGGGTTGAATTGGTTCTTTACATAGTATCAGAGCCTCTGTGACCATTGACCAAGTGGTTAAGAGTTCGATCCTCATTGCCCTCATTCAGTTAATAAATGATTAGGTATTGTGGAATTTCTTAGCACATGTAGGCTAGGCATGATGCATCATCCACCCTTCAAGCCCAATGGGTTTTCGTGTGAGGGGACGTATTAGAGAAATATAAAACCATTAATGCAGCCTCACCCAATAGCTTAAGCTTTTGTGTTAAATTGGTTCTTTATACATTTATATAGCTATTGGGTGCAATTTACTTCCAACAATGCACATAGATTTGGTTAATTCTTTCTGTAATTTATTACTTCCTTGGAATTGCATGAGAATTACTGCATATGGCACATTTCTTGTAGGAGAACCAAATTTCTTTTCACTTTCTGTCTTTTTTTACATGGTTGATGTATTTTTTCCAATGCCTCGAGAGTTTCTTGTATAGGTGGTCATCCCTCGAAGTCCACGGCAAGCAAAAGGGTTATTGCTATCTTGCATACGAGACCCAAATCCTGTTGTATTTTTTGAACCAAAGGTTGTTTTCTACAAGAATAACCTTAATGAATTGTGTGCATAGTTTTATAGTATGTGAACTTTTACAATTTAAATCATGGGATTCTTGGTTTCAGTGGCTTTATCGTTTGGCTGTTGAAGAAGTACCAGAGGATGATTATATGTTGCCCTTATCTGAGGCTGAGGTACACCACAAGTCACACTAAATGCAAGAAGGAAAAGCAGTTTTGCTTAATATTATTGATACATTATTCTGTGAAACATTTACTCTGATGAATATTAAAATGTGTACTCAGGTGATTCGGCAAGGATGTGATATTACACTTGTTGGATGGGGAGCTCAATTATCTATAATGGAACAAGCTTGTCTTGATGCTGAAAAAGTAAGTGACACTTGCATTGCAACTGAAAGTGCTTAGAACATGTATTCTGCATATTTTTGGGTATGGTGAACTAGTCATCACTGGAGAATTTCTCTTGATGCAACGTAAAACACTAAGGATACGCTTAGAATGTGGAATCAGTTTTTCCAGAAAGAAACCGAATAAGGTGTAATAAATTAATGATTATTCATCCTATGTTGTATTGCTTTAGAGAAGGAAGGGAAACTTGTTCCTGTCCCATGTTTGATATAGGAAATTAGGATAAAATACAATTGGTAACTGAGATCAAATAGCATAAACAAGAACATAATTTATCACGTTTAATTTATGTATATATGTGTAATAATTTGTGATGTAGATTCGACGCATAATTTCATTATTACAAATAAACTCAAGTATTATAACTATCCAAAATATTTAGCAATGCTGAACCATGAAAATACAAGGAAAATAGGCAACGAGTGATGGGTGCATTATTGTATATCATGTAAACGAACATATGTCAAGGTGCAATTATAGTCCATACAGCCAAGTGGAATGTCAATTTGGGTTAGAGCTATTCTATATTTTTCACATGTACTGTTACGACTGGGATTAAGAGTGGTGGTTAACCATCAACATGGAAAGAATATTCGAGAAGACCCAAGGAGAAGGTCCAGTTAGTGGACAGCTAGGCAGTTGAGAGTTTAGTTAGTTAGAAATGTATTGGGGAATGCTATAAAAAGAGGGGTTAAGTGATTGTTAGGGTGTATTCAGAATTACCTAGATTTTGAATACTGAGATAGCTCTCAGTTTGGGCATTTTCCCTGGTGGGAGGATATAACTTCTTGTAATTCTTGTTTTCAGAATAATAAAAATACCTCTCCTTTATTCTCTCTGTTTCACTCTTGGTTTCTGGCTTTATTGTTGTGAATCAAACCCATAAAGAACCCAGAGTTTTAACATATATGAAGAGCGCAAGCAGGAAAATTAATTAATTAATTCTGTCCCATCTTGCATGGAATGATGGAATCACCAATCCATCCTGTTTAGGAGGAAACTCTGATTCATGTAATGTGGTTTAAGCTATTTTTCTGTCCTACCAATTATAAGAATAATCATTATCATCATATCAACCCGGAAAACAGTTTTCAATGCCACATACCAAACTAATCCAAACTAATTAAGATGTGGTTTCTTGTAGAAAATATTTTATGTTGTATACTTGTACTGGACATGATTCGGACCATTCACTGATGTAAAATATCATAATGGGATACAGAATGGGATAAACGAAATAATTAATAAAATTAAAAGATATCCTCGAATTCCAATTAAGAAGTTGCCAGAAATAGATAGAGAGGTAGGAATTTATCGAACGAACCGCACTCCTTCGTATACGTCAGGAGTCCCTTGATGAGAAGGGGTTGGGGAAAGCTTGAACCCAAGAGGATACGCTCGTAGCGAGAGCGATAAAGGGGATCATTTGTTTCTTGAACAGTTCTTTAAAAAATGGATTTATCCGTTTTATGAGTCATTAGTATACCTACATATAGGGAATCTAACTAAAACTAGTTAGAGCATCTCATTCACAGGTTCTCCTCTCTTATTTTGTAATGACTTGCTAATTAAGTTGCTTTTCTTTTAGGCCACTTAATTTCAATTCATAGTTTATGCATTTTACTTTAGAACAGAATCGTAATAATTCTGTAAAAGAAAGTTTGACATCACAATTTGTCGTATGTATGATAATATATAACCTGTATTTGAGGAATTCGCTTAGTATCTAGAAATCTAGAATTTTTTCGCAATTGAAATTTTAATGTTATTACGAGATTCTGCAGGAGGGAATTTCTTGTGAATTGATTGATCTGAAGACACTAATTCCTTGGGATAAGGAAACAGTGGAGGCCTCAGTTGAGAAGACAGGAAGACTGCTTGTGAGTAAAGATTTTATAGAATAATACTGTATCCTATCCCGGTTCGGTGTTTCCTTACATGATGCATTGACTGTACTGTGTAGATTAGTCATGAAGCTCCTGTAACTGGAGGCTTTGGTGCTGAAATCTCGGCTTCCATTGTCGAACGCTGCTTCTCAAGGGTATGATCCATCCTTTCGTTCATAGCTTCATGTACAAATTCTTAAGGTCAATAGGGCATGGTTTACAACCGACTTGGAGATAGATTTTTATTGCTGTTTCCTCCACTGTGTCCCTATAATTAAAAAGCCAAATATATATTAGATATATATCATGAAAGCGAGCCTCGAGCAGTGGTAAAAACTATTCATTTGTGACTGAAAGGTTATGGGTTTGAATTCGGGAAATAGCCTATTTGCAATTATACAAGAAAAAAGTTGCATTCAATGATTACCCTGAATGTAAAAAGATAGGGAAATATAAAAGGATTTTGGGAGAGGGGAACGTGTTTCTGAAAGTTGGAGTCACTAATTTGAATGATATATAAAATGGGTATAAAGGCTAAAATGATTATATATATGCATGTGGTGTTGTTTGAGTGTAAAACTGAGCATACTTCCGATATAATGAAAACTTCGAGGGAATTGTTATGTACTTATGTATATGCCTTCAAGAATAACCGAATTCAACCCGGTCATGTCTCAAGCCGGTCTTTTTCTTTTGTGTTACAGTTAGAGGCCCCTGTAACAAGAATTTGCGGTCTAGACACTCCTTTCCCTCTGGTTTTTGAACCCTTCTACATGCCAACCAAGAATAAGGTAAATAGTTTGTTTGCCTTTATTTTCTTCTATTTATATGCAGCATGGTAAAGAGATGTCTTGACTGATACACAAGCTTGTCACTCATTTGATGCAGATATTGGATGCAATTAAATCAACTGTCAACTACTAATGAGATTAATCACTTTTTTTTTTTTGCCATCTACATTAACTTGATGCCATCATCATAATGATCATTTTCATTGCTGGTGATGCATTAGTGTGATGCACACCATGGTGAGAGAGAGAGGAGACATTTTCGTGACACAAAATTGTTAATCCTTTCTGATGCGATGGGAAAAAAAATACTATGGTGAGATGATATTTTCGTGTGGGACTCGGTAGTAGTATAAAATGAAATAATGGGAACAAAATTCACTCTTCCTCCTATCAAACGGAAAAATATTTTTTCTCACCCTATTTTCTCGGGATTTCAAGGAAAATCTGCATACCAAACAATGGGAAAATTCATTTATTTGCTTGTCCGTAAGATGTTAATTCAATAATATTTTGTTACATATTCATATGGTAGGTAATAATTCATGTTAGGAACCTTTGCCGGGCATTGGAAGAAGATGCATTCAGGCTAGTATTGCATCATTATGATGGTTTAAACATTCCGCTGTATTTCATTGAAATTGGGCTATTTTATAATTTATATACTTTGGTTTTAACATTCAATCTTTGAATCTCTTAAAATTAGGTTTTTGTCATATTTATTGTACCGAAATTTTGAAACAATTATTTGGGGTCAAAATTTAGAGAAATGATATTGTAACAATTAAATTGTGTTACTACTAAGTTATTACCAATCAATCTTATCGTTAGATTGATTATGTTGATCCAACGGTTATATTTATTTCCATTTTTGTATGATCATAATTTCTCAAATTTAATATTTTATATTTATTTTTACCTTTGTATGGTTATGATTTCTCATATTTAATGTTTTCACTTTAAATATGGGGAATCATAACCATACAAAGATGAAAATAAATATACCAGTTGGATTAACATAATCGATCTAACGGTGAGATTGATTGGTAGTAACATGGTAACACAACTTGGTTGTTACAATATTATTTCCCCAAAATTTATAGGTGTAATAGTTGTTTTATACTTTTATTTTCCAATTTAAATTTAAATTATTTTATTTTATACAAAAAATTATACTTGCAAATGAAGTATCGACATAATATGGTGCTATTTTTTTTTTTAAAAAAAAAAAATCGCCACTGTTGCACTGAGTTGCTAAATTACTGTTTCCACGGTCAAATAAAAATGTTGCTAATAATAGATAGAATGTGGGAAAAATAATGCGACGCCACAATTAGCCATGCTTAGAAAAAGTATGGTTACTTTTATTAGCCACGGTTTTGACGTAACTTAGCCATAGTTTTAAATATGGATGATGCCATTTTTTTGTAGTGATTTCACATTTTTTTTTATCCAAGAAGAATAATTAATTTTAGGGATAAATAACAATTATGTTACAGGAACAAGATTCCTATCATGCAACACTACCGACAAAATAAAATTTGTCTCTTTTAATTTATTTTTTTTATTTTACTTGTCATTTTCTGTTGTAGGAAAAAAAAATCCTTGCTGCAACAGGATCAAACGAAAGCCCTTAATTTTAAATCAGGTTTCATGGTTAGTTGAAATTATGTTTTCACCATTCAGACCTCCCAACTTGGTTTTGTAACTTGCATATGACTCGCAAGTTAATAAATATTATTTTAATATTTACGGTTGGGGGTGCTTTCATACGGATTGGGATATTCCACATAAACAAATAGGATACGATACGTTTACATGTTAATTCTAAATACGATATGTCTACATGTTAATTGTAAAATTTCGACAGGTCAGGACACATTTTAATATTAAATAATATTTTTAATATAAATAATATAGTTTACGTTTAATACATATAGTAGCTCATAATAAGTCATATAACTAATCAAATATTAAAATTTCATAACATAAATATAAAGCAAAAGTAATTTTTCTTGTTAATTTTTCATGTTAAATTCCATAATAGAAAATATTTGATTTATAAATTAATTTTTTATGTTTAGTTAAAAAGATAAAATAAAATAAAATTTGGATCTTAAAAAAAAAATGTGTCGGAAGACGTTGATCGCGTGTTGGAACGTATCATAACATTGACTGTGTGTCAAAAAATGTTGATCGCATGTCGGATGCATGTCGAAAGGTGTCGGTGTCTGACACGTATTTTTTACCTAAAAAAAATGTGTCAGTGCTTCATTGATCTAAGTATATTAAGAGAGAAAATGTTATATTTACAAATTCTTTGTTTGCAAACTCTTACAAACTACATTAAGTATGACCGGTCATACTTCAATTAAGAGTGTATGACCGGTCATACTTAGTGTAATTTGTAAAAAATAATTTGTAAATGGATCCTTCTCCTATTAAGAGTATAATCAAATTTATTTGCATTAGTTTTTTTTTTTTTTCCTTTCTAAACTCATAGGAAATTTTACAAAGACTACTACACCTACCCTTACACCAATTTTAGAGCTTCTTTTCCTCTCAAGAAACCTTTCATTCCGCCATCACTCTCTCCACTACACAAGCCTTTACAAACAACTAGGACTCCCTTTCACCAATACAATCCTCCTCACTTAAGACACTAGATACCTTTGTTTCTCCATTTCGTATGATCCAAGAAAAATATCATCTGGGAGTAAAAGTGGGAAATTACTGGGACAAGAGAGAGCTATATCTAAGATAAGGATCACAACCATGGAAAAAAAAATTGTGGGGTTTGATTTTCTGGTATGAGGTTTCGAAACCCTTTTATTTTTTCAATTTGATGCAACCCATTTGCACTTTTGTATGGCTGAAGACAAGAAAGATTTTATTCTTAGGACGATTCATATGCCTCATTGGCAGGGGGAGATTAGGAAGATGGAGTCTCTTTTACCATATTTTAATAAAGTGTTTTATTAATCTCATGTTAAAAAAGATAGTTATCTCATGTCATAGAGACAAACTAGTGGACTCTACCACCTGAGAAAAAAAAAAAAAAAAAGTGGCACAATTATCAAAAGATGTGTAAAAGATAAAACTTATGTCATGCGACATAAGAATAGTTTTTTCCTTTAATAAATTAAATAGTAAATGGTTTTTTCGTGGGGGTGATTAAAAGGAGTTGCATAAGAGTTCATTTGGGGCATCGCACGAATTGGATAACATTTCACGGGTTATAATTATGTAGTAAGGGTAATATATATTTATAATATTAAAATTATATTTTTTCTCTCTCTTCAGAAATTATTTATTGACGTAAAAAATATATATATATATTATAACTAGGATAGGATATTGTGACACCCAAGTTATGTTACACCCATGTGACACCCAGTCAATCTCACCGTTAGATCGCTTATGTTGATTCAACGGTTATATTTATTTCCATCTTTGTATGGTCATGATTTCCCAAATTTAAAGTGAAAACATTAAATATGGGAAATCATAACCATACAAAGGTAGAAATAAATATAAAATATTAAATTTGGGAAATCATGACCATAAAAAGATGAAAATAAATATAACCGTTGGATCAACATAAGCGATCTAACGGTGAGATTGACTGGGTGTCACATGGGTGTAACATAACTTGGGTGTCACAATATCCTATCCCTTATAACTAAGGGCAGGTTATATTTACAAACTTTTTTGTTTACAAACTCTTACAAACTACACTATGTAGGACCAGTCCTACATTAATCACACAGTGTACGACCGGTCCTACATTAGTGTAATTGCAAAAAAGTTTGTAAACGGATCCTGTCCCTTATAACTATGTATAATTATAACTGCTAAAAAAAATACTTGTGTCATTTATATTAAGGGAAATATAAGAATCATGTTGCAGGAATGACACTGTTCATTCCTGCAACAAGGATACGACGTCGTATCCTAAGGATACGGCGTCGTATCCTGATTTTGGTTTGACTTTTTTTTTTAAGCGTGGGACCCACACTTGATTTGTGTGTGTAGGAAAGTGCTCTTGTCATATCAAATGAAAAAAAGGAAACCCTTGTATTAAACCCTTTGGAATATCCTTTCTACTATGTGATTCAAAATCTTTCCCATTGAATTACTTTTCGGACTGATCTAATTTGTATAGTCAAGAATAAGGCGGTGGCATACAGTTTCCCTTTAGAGCCTCGGGCTTAATTTTATCATAATTTCAATATTTATATGATTCACGTGGCATCACACAAATAGTGAAACAGTAACAGGAAAAAATATCAATTTCTTTGCCTTGAAATTATAGAAATTTAGGTATAGACCCAAAAAAGAAAAAAAAATTTGAATAACATTATATATGTGTGTTATGAAATAATTGATATGATATAAAAAACAAATCATTAATCTTTATACTAAATAAAGGACTCCTCAAATAAAAACCAAATCTTGAAATATGAGGAAATAAAAAAATTAATTCTAAAAAGTCTTTTAGATAATATAAATTATCTTAACATATAATTTGATATTTCCTTAGATATTTTAAATGTTTTAACACTTGCATAAAAATTGAAAGGTAAAAAAAATACAGAGACAGTTAAAAAAATTTCCTCTCCTTCAATAACATTCATAGCAAAAATGGCTTATAATATTTTAAAATAAAACATAAATAAAAATAATGACTTATGGGAATTCTTCTATATCCTTTGATGCTTTCCTTCTTCTGATCAAGATCTTGAAAACTCCCAAGCAAAGATCAAGCATGTAATTATACTGAGAAGAAAATTGACAGACAAAGCCTGCAAGTTAAGACCAATGGAAACCTTAGTTAAACTCAATCGGCATATAATTTACTAGTCTAAGTATTAAAAAACAAAAGGTAATGAGAATTTTCACATGTGTGCAAGTATGTTAAATTTTAACATTACATAAGATTTGGATTGTGGAAGAAAACCCTGTAATCCAATGTTATAAACTGGAGTTCCATTGGGATAGAAAAGGCCATAGTTTCTCTCTGATGTGGGACCAAACTTTAAATTCTCATTAAAAAGTGCAAAGACATGTACATCAATTGGAACTGATGGATTTGAAGGAGTTCCTTCCTTCTGCTCTATCCTTTTGAGCAAGTTACCATTATACAATGCAGCATTTTGTAGTGTAGCTCCAGCCTCATCAGGGTCACCATTAGAAGGCCAACCTGTCTCAGAAACCTTGACTTCAATATTGGTATGTCCCAAGGCTTTGATGGCAGCATAGACAGCATCTATTTGAGCATAAAACATATTATCATAATGCAAAGTGGTATTTGGATCAACCAAACCTGAATTTGGCTGAAAGAGTGTATAATCTAAATTGATCTCATTTGGGTTGTTTTTGTATGCAAAAAAAGGGTATACATTAATGAAGAAGGGTGAGTTGAATTCAGCATGGAAGTCAAGAAGGGGTTGGATATATTGTATCAAATCTTGCCTAAAAGAACCTGATGAAGGAGGGTATGAATTGGCTAATATGTTAAAAGAATGAGGGGTTGTGACATTTACTTGTTGGTCTAGTCCTAAATTAACAAGGGCCTTGTGCAAAGTTTGCATAGCTGGTAGAAGGTTTGACATTTGTTGATTATCATTGCTATTGAAGACCTCATTGCCTACACTAATGCAAGTGATTTTGGTTTGTGAAAGGTAAGGTTGAACATGTTGTTGAATCCATGTTTGAGCTTGAGCAGGGTTTGTCATGTTTTGCAGATACTCATTTCCAAGCCCTATAATGAATTCCACGTTTGAGTTGGAGAATGCAAGTAGAACATCTGGATCAGCATCATATAGTTTGATCTTATTAACGTTCATAGATTTTACAAAAACTGCCACATCAGAATGAGAAGGTAGATTGCTGGCTAGTTGTCCATAGTTGATTCCAAAACTAAAGCCATGGATTTGCACAAACAAACCTGAAAACAGATTTAGAATTATCACAATGTTTGTAAGATAAATATCTGATTTCAAAATGCTTGGAATTAAGACTAGAATGTTAAATTTCCAAGATAAAAAAAAAAAAAAACACTCCCCAATTAAACCCGACTAGCGAGTGTGGGATGAAGGCAATCCTAATACTTAGTCTTACTCTTGCAAAGAGACTGCTTTTCAGATTTAAACCTGTGACCTTTCAATTATAACGGAACAATTTTATCATTACTCTTGTTCACCTCTAGTTAGATAAGTGTGAATAAAATAAAACTAGTTAGATAACATATAATTCATCCAATTTCCCTGTAATGTATCAAAAGGAATCATGCATAAATAGACAAAGTAGATAACAAACCCGAAATATTGAGAAGAAGCAACAACACTGATCTCAAGAAGAAGGAATAGCTTATCATTACTGAGATGATATTATCCAAGAGAACCAACCGAGCCAATAATGTTTTTTTTATGTATGTGTGTATATATATTTTTTGCATACATGTGTATATTACTTTTTTGCAGCAGCATCAGAAAAGTAGTGCGTATATATAGATAAAAAAAGAGATCCAATAATATTTATATAAAAAAAATCTATCAGGATTCAATATCATATCCAGATAGTTTTGTATCCGTGAGACCGTGACACACAGTTTTTCTGCCAACTGCAGATTTGTGCCAATATATTATTCGAAGTGATTTTAATTATATTAATTTTACATTGCTCTTTTCTAAGTAATAAAACCAATATATATTGAAGGTGACTCCATTTAACGATCAACTTTCCTTTTTATATATATACATATATAAAAAATTACATCATATCATCGTAATTAAAATAATATCACCTTATATATGGCAACTCTACCTCATTAATATTATTTTTCATTTATCAACGAATCCGTCTAACAGCTAGCAATATTATATCGAAATAAAAGTATCCATATATAAAATATTAGGTGTATCGTTCGTTAACATATACCGAAATTTAACATAAATTCCAAAAAATATATAAATCTTAAAGCTATAGTTGTTTCGTATCCAATCCATTTCGAATGATTGTAAAAATCAAAACTCATACTTTTCAGATTCAAATCAAATGTTATTCGATATATTAAAAATAATTATTCCTATCACTAACCACTTATATAACAATACTAATATATAAAAGTTCACAAAACAACAATTAATAATCTACTAAATAAAATATAAAAGGTTTGTTTCCCATATATATGATATTAAGTATATAATAGTAATGGTAATAATAATATTAATAAATAGACTGTTAACCTTAAAAAATAAAAATACTATGGATATTGGATATAGTTTCTCATGATCCTAACTAGATTTCTAGGAACTCTCATAAGATGACAGTGTAATATCAATTCACACAAATCAATTCTTACTGTGTAATAACCCAATCTTATAAAATCGATCCGAATTGAACATCGATAGGGTTGGGATATTCGATTATAGGTTGCATAATTGAGATACTAGTTCAGATAAATAAATATAACTTATATTCTACATTTAATTTTTCAAAAATCACTTCGTAATTATATTATAATATTATATGCAGTAATAATTTAACAACTCAATTTGCCCCAATTACATTCGTAAAGTAATGTCTCATACCGAAATTGAACAAATATTAGCCGTATATATTATAGAATAATATGAAATCATAATGAAGAAAGAATATATTATTTCCATACACAAAAAACAACATATTATAAATGATATATAAAGTTTAATAATATATAGTAAAAAAAAATTAAGAACACACTTTTTTCAACAAAAAAACAAACGACATCTGCACAAAAATAAAATATAACAGTAGAAAATAGTTTTCTCAAATTACACACGTTCACATAATAGGGTTTAATACTGAAAATAAAGTTATTTCCAATGAACCCAAAATGATATCGTTTTGGGGTTAAAAAATTATAATGATAAAGACTAATATAACACTATAGAATTTATATAAAAAATAATTCTAAAATAAATTAGAATTACAAAAATATATTTTTCTTAACCTTATTGGGATCAGTGAATATAAGTTATCTCCATTAAATGGAGATACATTAAACCCAACATAATAACACATTTACACCCGCTTCAACCACCAATTATTCGTCCTTCTTTCTTGCAATTGCTATTGTTTTTCTCTCTTCTTCTAATCTCTCTATAATGTCTTTGAGCTGGTGCAAATTTATGGAATTGGGCAAGTTTTTTTTATGTGAATTTGTACCCAAAATATTTATGTAAGAATGTATTCCCAATTCAGTTAAATTAAAGTGCATTATGATCTTAATTCACTATACTTTAAGGATAGATTTATCCCTACTTGTTTACATTGAAAACAATGTCACTTGATAAGAGTTTTTTCATTTCAAGTTCATACCAAGCATTGTCTCTGTGTTTTACATGATGAGTAGTTTATGTTAGTGCTCCATAGATGAGTTTAACTCATTCACCAATGTTGATCCCACCGGATGGAGCTTATGTCCCTTAAACACAGGTGAGTAGATATGCAAAGAAAAAAAAATTAATAAATAAAAAATTCACTCCCAAATTAATAGGGGCTAAAGTAGTAATTATGAATATAATACACACATATATATATATATATATATATATATATATATATATATATATATATATATATATATATATATATATATCGGAAAAGCATCTATCCTTTTAAAGGATATAAGCTTATATACTTTTAGATCATAACCGTTGATTTCCGTCCATCAACGGTTATAATCTATTGGATCAAATATAATGGGCCAAAATTATTATTAATTAATTAATAATTTTGATCCAATAAATTATAACCGTTGATGGACGAAAATCAACGGTTAGGATCTAAAAGGATATAAACTTACATCCTTTAAAATGACAAATGTTATTCCCTATATATATATAAATATATATATATATATATATATATATATATATATATATATATAGGGGAGAGATCATTTGACTCCAGAGTAAGATTTCAAAGTCTTACTCCTCATCTCAGCCTTGATTTCCGTTCATCCAACGGTTATCATTTAATAAGTTACAACAATTAATTAATTATTAATTTCAATTAAATGATAACTATTAGATGAACGGAAATCAAGGGCTGAGATGAGGAGTAAGACTTTGAAATCTTACTCTGGAGTCAAATGATCCCTCCCCATATATATATATGTAGAAAAAATATTTTCTTATGTTGCATGAGAATTCAATTCTCATGTTGTGACTCTTCGATTTGTGTGCAAAGCTTTTCTTTTATCTTTTTTTAATAAATGTGGGTCCACCACTAGTTGAGTCACAGCATTAGAATTCAATTCTCATGCAGCATACATATATAGAAAAAAAAGTTTCTAAAGTTACTTGACAAACTTGTCTAATATTCACTGAAACGACGTAGTTTCAGCATGAAAGATTAAAAAATTAGAATGATAAAGACTATTATAACCCTAGAATAAATTAAAATTACAAGCACACCATGATTTCCATCCCAAAATGACGTCGTTTAAGTGAACATTAGACTATTTTTCTAAAGTAACTTTATAAAAAAACAAGCCTATGTGTGTGTGTGTGAAAAATTATTTCTCCTGTTACAGGAGATAAAGTTCTCTCTAATAACTCCAAAATTACGTCGTTTTGAGAGTTAACGAGGGGCACTTTGGTAATTTTGTTCGTTTCTTTATTATATAAATTTTATCAAAACACTCCTCATTAATTCTCTCAACCCTCTATGTAGTTTTGCGTTACAGGAGATAACTTTATTGCATATGACAAGAGAAATGATAAACTCATATATATATATATATATATATATATATATATATATATATATAGGTAGGATCCTTTGACACTAGTGTAAAATTTGAAATTTGACACCTCATCTGAGAGTCATTAGATCAAAAAAGATAAATGGTGTCACATGCTTACAAATCAGAGCCATTGATCTTTTTTGATCTAATGGCTCTCAGATGAGGTGTCAAATTTGACACTGATATCAAAGGATCCTACCTCATATATATATATATATATATATATATATATATATATATATATATATATATATTGGTTTTCTCTGCAGTGAATGCAGATAAATTATCTGCATTGGTCCCGAAACGACTTCGTTTTGAGTAAAAATCAAGGTATTTTCGTAATTATAATTTATTCTAGTGTTATAATAGTAATTATCATTATAATTTTTTAATATTTCAACCTAAAATGACGTCGTTTTAGAAGTGATTATAGATAACTTATCTGCATTCACTATAAAAGCATTAAAGTCTTATATATATATATATAATATATATATATATACTAATCATAATAATTGGTTTTTTAATAGTAATTATCCAGAATTTGAAGAAAAAATAGATATATTTGATACAAAATCATTATTAACTGAAATTTGTTTTACAGGAATATTTCACAAATGATCAACTAATCCAAATGGTTCGTTCGTTATTAAACTAAACCATGGTATTTGCTTTGCCAAATACACCATTATTGTATACTCTTTTATATGTATGGCGCAACCCAATCCTTTTTTTTTATTTGGAAGATCTTATCCTTTCCTTTTTTGAATCATCAAAAATTTGGAGCGTGAAGTGTAATTAGATCGATTTATATATATATATATAGTCATGAAAAAGAAAGGAATATAATTTTAAGGTTTTTTTTTAACTTTTTTAAAAAAAGTATCATACTCTTTTTTCTTAAAAAAAATACATATTATGCATAATAAAAGTTTTGGATTTATAATATATAGTTACAAATTGAATAGTAAAAGTTTTTTGTTTTTTTGGGCAAAGTGAATAGTAAAAGTTATATCATAAAAGCTACAAATTTCATTTTTTTGTAATTTTTATTATTCAATTTATAATTCTAAAAAAATAACCTCGTACTTTTTTTCAGAGAGAATACCCCTATAATCAGCCATTATGATTCCCTCCTTTAATTATTATGTTTCTTGAAATCGAATTCAAAATATAAATAAAATTGAAAATGAACTGTATCATATGTTATTTAACATGAACATATTATGTAAATATGTTAAGTAATGTATAAGAGGATTAATTACCAACAAAATTTTGATTGAAACTTGGCTTCCGATTAAGCCACCTGATACCCACTTTAGAATTATCACAATGTTTGTAAGATAAATATCTGATTTCAAAAAAGAAAAATGGGTTAGGCGCGTGAGTTTACGCGCGCGATTTTTTTTTGTCTGCTAGGGCTTTGCTTTCTGTGTTAGCTGAGTAGGTTCAATGGGAGAGGTGAGAGTCGGTGAGAATGACACGCTGGTCATGATGAGGAAGAGTATCAAGAGATCGAAGAATGGCGAGGAGATCCAAACGGAAGTTGTGATGCGCGATGCGATCAAGGAGTTTCAGGCTGGATCTTCCATGCTTGAAAAGTCCAGATCCTTTGCTGAGGTGACAGGAGTTGAGAACGGGGTGTCAGGCGACAACGTTCCATGGCTGATCGAAGAGGATGAACCGGATCTGGAGCCTTTAGATCCTAATTTGGGGGCGATCTCTGAATGGGGTTTTCAGACCATTATCAGAGAAGATGGTTCCGTTGAAATAAGGAGTAACAAAGAAGCGAGAACGAGAATGTGTCAAAGGTGGAAAAATTCACTGATAGTGAAGCTGCTGGGCAAGAAGATAGGCGTCGGGTTTATGAAGAAGAGATTGGAGGTGATGTGGGCGAAATCTGGCAGCATCTTTGTTGCTGATCTCGGCAATGAGTTTTTCTCCGTACGTTTTAGTAGCTTGGAAGACATGAACCTTGCAATTACAGGTGGAACGTGGGTCATTTCGGGTCATTATCTTGCCACAAGGAAGTGGGAACCTTGTTTTGATCCTGAGAAGGCTAATATCCATAAGGTAGCAGCATGGATTCAACTTCCAGGGATTCCACAAGAGTACTGTGAATTCCCTTTCCTAAATCATTTAGGATCGGTGATTGGGAAAGTAATCAAAGTTGACAGGACAACTTCAACTGGAGATAGGGCCAGATTTGCTAGAGTGTGCATCGAAATTGATCTCTCTAGGCCTTTGAGGGGTGAGTATGTTTTGGATGGTTGTAGGAAGAGGGTAGAGTATGAAGGGCTTTATTTGATTTGCCTTAGGTGTGGTAGGTATGGGCATAATTCTGAGGCTTGTCCAGATTATGTGAAGCCTACACCTGTGCATCAGGCTGAGGAGAAATCTGGTAATTCTGTAGATAATTCTGGCAGTCAAGGTTTGGGACCATGGATGGTAGTTAATCGAAGGAAGAAAGGCCAACAGGCTGTGCAGAAGTAAGAGTCTGGAGCCAACAGAACATTTGGTGAAGACATTTCTAACAAGAAAAACATGGTGGGTCAAAGAACTGGTGCTAATAGAGAAAAGGGTAACACAAAAGGGGTTCAGGTTAAGCAACCTGTGAGCAGCTCTCTCAATCCTGGTGTGAATAAGGAGAACATTTCCTCGGGTAGCAAGGTGGATTCCCCAGTAATTGGCATGCTATTCTCAACTGTGGCTTCTAGCTCTGTCAAAAAGACTGGTGGTAATAAACCAGTGGGGGTGAAATCAAAGAAGTATGTGGCTAAGGCCATGAATGGTAAGGGAAAAGGAATATGTAAGGAATTCTCTCAGGCTTTGGGAGCAAGTAGCTCTGGTCTGCAGAAAAAAGTTGAGCTGGATGGAGAAGTTGATTTATCAGGAGTATTTAATGGGCTAGAGGGGAATTCTGCACTTAGTTCAGAAAAATCTTCAGGTGAGGCTATGGTTGATGTTGATCCGGTGCAGGAACCTGAACCTCCTGACCAAATCATGAGTGACTCGTTAAAGCTGCTAGCTGATAGTGCAGGTATGGAGGTAGCTTTACCTTTAAAAGAGCAGTTAACTAATTCTGTTTATGAGCCTATTTGTGATGCTGATCTTTTTGAGAATCAGAGTTATATGTGTGTTAATAATGATGAAAGCTGCAAGAGCTTAGTAATCTTGCAAAAAAACCAAAGTTCATCATGAATGTTCTCACGTGGAACTGTAGGGGTGCTGCTAAGAAACAGTTTAAGAGCACCTTCAGTAGATTTAGAAAGAAGTATAAGGTTGGGATGGCAGTTATCCTGGAACCTAGGGTGAGTGGAAATAAGGCTGCTAATATAATTAAAAGTTTGGGTTTTTCTAATAATTTGATAGTTGAAGCACAAGGTTTTGCAGGAGGTATCTGGCTTGTTTGGCTTCCCTGCTTTGTTTTTTCAAAGGAACTGGGAGATCCTTAAAGATCAAGTTCTCACAAGTATGAGGGGGTATCTTGACAAGCCGCAGCTAATTCAGGAGATTAACTACACTATGCTAGCTCTTATTCCTAAGATTGAGAGACCTTGTCTCATGAAGCAGTTTAGACCAATAGCACTTTGTAATTCTATTTACAAGGGGCTGAGCAAAATCCTTGCTAACAAAATTAAACCTCTTTTGGGGAGTCTCATTTCCCCCAATCAGGTTAGTTTTGTTCCTAGAAGGCAAATCCAAGACAATATAATAATTGCTCAAGAGTTGGTGCATGCGATGCATAAAATGAAGGGAAGGAAGAGCTTTCTGTCCATCAAAATTGACTTAGAAAAAGCTTATGATAAGCTCAATTGGAGGTTCATAAGATCAGTGTTGGATGAAGTGAAACTGCCAGGGGATTTAGTTGAAGCCATCATGGGTTGTGTGACTAGTACTCATTTGGAGGTGTTGTGGAATGGGGGTAGGACTACTGGATTTAGTCCTCAACGTGGCATTAGACAAGGGGATCCCATATCTCCTTATCTGTTTGTCTTATGTATGGAAAAGCTAACTCATTTAATTATGGATGAGGTGGAGGCTAAGCATTGGAGACCAATAAAGGCTGGAAAGTCTGGTCCATATATTTCTCACCTTATGTTTGCAGATGATGTTATATTGTTTGCTGAAGCATCTTTGTCTCAACTGGAATCAATCACTCATTGTTTGGAGAAATTTTCTAAGATGTCTGGGCAATGTGTGAGTGTGGAGAAGTCTTGTATATATTTCTCAAGGAATGCTCCTCAAGAGGTAGTAGATTCGGTCACCTCTATTAGTGGGTTTAAAAAGGTCAGTAATCTTGGATGTTATTTGGGTTCTTTGATGAAGCATGGTAGAGTGAGAAGAGATCATTATGCTGATGCTATTACTAGATTCCAAGGTAGACTGCAAGGATGGAAGTCAAAGTGTCTATCTCTGGCAGGTAGGATTACCTTAGCCAAGAGTGTTATTTCAGCTATCCCTTCCTTCCAGATGCAAAACAGTATGTTACCTGTTCATGTTTGCTAGGAGATTGAGAGATTGCAGAGGAACTTCATTTGGGGGGATTCTGAAACTAAGAAGAAAACCCATTATGTATCGTGGGAGCAAATCTGTCAGTCTAGGGAATGTGGTGGGTTAGGAATCATGAATCTGAGAAGACAAAATGAAGCATTTATGCAAAAATTGGCTTGGCAGGTTATGACTGATCATGATAGACTTTGGGTCAAGGTGTTGTTAGGAAAATATGGTAGGAATGCTAATCCTAGCCGCTGCCTAATCTCAAGAACTTCTGACTCTCCTCTATGGAAGCATATATGTAGAGGACATAATGACTTATATCAGCACCTTGAGTGGAAGATTGGTAATGGAAAGGAAATTTATTTCTGGTCTGATGTGTGGGGAGGGTGGAAGAGGAGTCTATATGACCTTGCTGCACATAAACCTCCTGATTCTCAGCTATCCTTTAAAGTAAGTGATTATGTTGATCAAGTCATGGGGGATTGGAGATGGAGCTGCCTTATTATGTGGTTAGATGCTAATACCATTAATAAGCTTAAAAATATTAGAACCCCTGCTATTGATGGTCCAAATGACAGTTTGAACTGGATTTGGAGTAGTCCAAGTAAGTCCTTTGTGAGGAATGCTTACTGTCATTTCCCTGAATCTTGTGAAAGAGATCGAGTTTGGGCAGCTATATGGAAGTGGAGGGGGCCTTACAGGGTTGCAGTTTTCCTATGGCTGGCTTGTTTGAATAAAATTCATGTTCGAGCTATGACAGGACAATGGTATGGGGGAGAGAGTATGTGCCCTGCTTGTAAGATTCATCCAGAAACTGTTATGCATGTGTTAAGGGACTGTAGGGTAGCTAGGCAGGTGTGGGAAAGATGGTTCTCGAATAATATTCCTAAAACTTTCTTAGCAGTGGAAGGAAGGGAAAGGTTCAAGATTAATCTGTTTCACCCTTTTGTTAGTAAGCTTTGGGGGTCTTGGAAGGAGGTTTTTTTTGTGACCTGCTGGTTTTTGTGGCAGTGGAGAAATTCAACGGTTCATGAAGTGTTGTTTTCTTTGCCTCAAGATCCAGTGCATGCAATCCTGATTTTTTTGGATGGGAGGAAAAGAAGTGCTAATCTTGATGTCTCTGCTGCAGGGGCTGATGGCATTTCCCTCGTTGGGAATTCTGGACAGCAGATTGATGAATATCAGGTTAAAATTTTTGTTGATGGTGCCTGTAAGCTAGCCTCCAATATAGGATCCAGTGGTGGGTTTCTTTGCTCCTCTATAGGTGAATGGAAAGGTGGTTTCTCTTACAATATAGGCAATTGTTCTTCCTTGGAAGCTGAATTATGGGGGATATATCATGGCTGTAAATTGGCAAGTGATATGCAGTATTCAAAGGTGTGGATAGGCTGTGATAGCAAAGAGGCTTTACTTTGTTTGGAGGAGAATGATGAAGTTTGTGGTTTCTCATACTTGATAGGCAAAATTCGAGAAGTGGCTCTGGCCTTTGAGAAATTCCAGTTGGAGTTTGTCCCAAGAGAATCCAATTCTTGTGCAGATTACTTGGCTAAATTAGGATTTAGTCTCAAGGGTGAAGAGTTGAGGTTACACTCCTCTCCCCCTGATGATATGTTGAAGTTTTGGTTAGAATTTAGCTCCATTTTGTTGATGGAGCATGTTTGTTTGTATTTGCAGCGTTTGACTGTTTAGTTTTCTTTGGGCTTGGCCCTCCATTTTTATCAAAAAAACAAAAAAATATCTGATTTCAAAATGCTTGGAATTAAGACTAGAATGTTAAAATTCCAAGGTAAAAAAGAAAAGAAAAAAAAACACCACTCCCCAATTAAACCCGACTAGCGAGTGTGGGATGAAGGCAATCCTAATACACAATCTTACTTTTGCAAATAATTACAAAGAAGTTGTTTCTCAGATTCAAAGTAACCTTTCAGTCATAACGGAACAATTTTATCACTGCTCTGATTCACCTTCTAGTTAGATAAGTGTAAATAAAATAAAACTACTTAGATAACATATAATTCATCCAATTTCCCTGTAATGTATCAAAAGGAATCATGCATAAATAGACAAAGTAGATAACAAACCCGAAATATTGAGAAGAAGCAACAACACTGATCTCAAGAAGAAGGAATAGCTTGTCATTACTGATATGATATTATCCAAGAGAACCAACCGAGCCACCACGCTTCTAGGCACAAAAGCTAACAAACCTGCATGTGTGTATATATTTTTTTTGCATACATGTGTATATTACTTTTTTGCAGCAGCATCTGAAAAGTAGTGCGTATATATAGATAAAAAAAGAGATCCAATAATATTTATATAAAAAAAGAATCTATCAGGATTCAATATCATATCCAGATAGTTTTGTATCCGTGAGACCGTGACACACAAAGTTTTTCTGCCAACTGCAGATTTGTGCCAATATATTATTCGAAGTGATTTTAATTATATTAATTTTACATTGCTCTTTGTAAGTAATAAAACCAATATATATTGAAGGTGACTCCATTTAACGATCAACTTTCCTTTTTATATATATATAAATATAAAAAATTACATCATATCATCGTAATTAAAATAATATCACCTTATATATGGCAACTCTACCTCATTAATATTATTTTTCATTTATCAACGAATCCGTCTAACAGCTAGCAATATTATATCGAAATAAAAGTATCCATATATAAAATTTAGGTGTATCGTTCGTTAACATATACCGAAATTTAACATAAATTCCCAAAAATATATAAATCTTAAAGTTATAGTGTTTCGTATCCAATCCATTTCGAATGATTGTAAAAATCAAAACTCATACTTTTCAGATTTAAATCAAATGTTATTCGATATATTAAAAATAATTATTCGTATCACTAACCACTTATATAACAATACTAATATATAAAAGTTCACAAAACAACAATTAATGATCTACTAAATAAAATATAAAAGGTTTGTTTCCCATATATATGATATTAAGTATATAATAGTAATGGTAATAATAATAATAATAAATAGACACTTAACCTAAAAAAATAAAAATACTATGGATATAGTTTCTCATGATCCTAACTAGATTTCTAGGAACTCTCATAAGATGACAGTGTAATATCAATTCACACAAATCAATTTTTACCGTGTAATAACCCAATCTTATAAAATCCGAATTGAACATCGATAGGGTCGGGATATTCGATTATAGGTTGCATAAGTGAGATACTAGTTCAGATAAATAAATATAACTTATATTATACATTTAATTTTTCAAAAATCACTTCGTAATTATATTATAATATTATATGCAGTAATAATTTAACAACTCAATTTGCCCCAATTACATTCGTAAAGTAATGTCTCATACCGGAATTGAACAAATATTAGCCGTATATATTATAGGATAATATGAAATCATAATGAAGAAAGAATATATTATTTCCATACACAAAAAACAACATATTATAAATGATATATAAAGTTTAATAATATATAGTAAAAAAAATTAAGAACACACTTTTTTCAACAAAAAAACAAACGACATCTGCACAAAAATAAAGTATAACAGTAGAAAATAGTTTTCTCAAATTACACATGTTCACATAATAGGGTTTAATACTGAAAATAAAGTTATTTCCAATGAACCCAAAATGATATCGTTTTGGGGTTAAAAAATTAAAAAATTATAATGATAAAGATTAATATAACACTAAAATTTATATAAAAAATAATTCTAAAATAAATTAGAATTACAAAAATATATTTTTCTTAACCTTATTGGGATCAGTGGATATAAGTTATATCCGTTAGATGGAGATACATTAAACCCAACATAATAACACATTTACACACGCTTCAGCCACCAATTATTCGTCCTTCTTTCTTGCAATTGCTATTGTTTTTCTCTCTTCTTCTAATCTCTCTATAATGTCTTTGAACTTGTGCAAATTTATGGAATTGGGCAAGTTTTTTTTTATGTGAATTTGTACCGAAAATATTTATGTAAGAATGTATTCCCAATTCAGTTAAATTAAAGTGCATTATGATCTTAATTCACTATATATATATATATATATATATATATATATACTTTAAGGATATATATATATATATATATATATATATATATATATATATATATATATATATATATATATATATGGGAAAATCATCTATCTTTTTAAATGATATAAGCTTATATCCTTTTAGATCCTAACCGTTGATTTCCGTCTATCAATGGTTATAATTTATTGGGTCAAACTTAATGGGCCAAAATTATTATTAATTAATTAATAATTTTGATCCAATAAATTATAACCGTTGATGGACGGAAATCAACGGTTAGGATCTAAAAGAATATAAACTTACATCCTTTAAAATGACAGATGTTATTCCCTATATATATATAGGGATAGGATATTGTGACAACTAAGTCATGTTACACCCATGTGACAACCAGTCAATCTCACCGTTAAATTAGGTTTTTGATCTAACGATCCAGATTTAATCGTTATATACACCCTCACTTCCCTTTCTCTCTCTTTCTATCTGATCACACTCTCTCTTCCCTTCTCTTCGCTTTCTCTCTGATCCACCGCCGCCGCCGCGCCTCCCCCTCTAATCCACCGCCGCCCATAGCCGCCGTCGCGCGGCCCCCCACTCCACCTCCGTCGTCGCGCCGCCCCACTCCACCGCATCGCACCTTTCTCTCTCTTCCCTTCACTCTGATTGTACTATCCCACCGCCGCTGCCCATAGCCACCGTCGCGCCGCCTCACTCCACCGCCGCCGTCGCGCCTCCCCCTCTAATCCACCGCCGCCGTTAAAATCAGGTATAGAGACATACGCTCTGTTTTGTAAATGCGAAACTTTAATTTCCAGTTCTTGTGTGTGCTGAAAATTTAGGTATCCAGTTTAATTTCCAGTTCTTCACATAAACTTTAATTTCCGCCGCCGCAGGGTTTATGAGTGCTGAAAATTTTCATTTATCGTTATTATGTGCTTGTGCAGATCTTTCCTTTTTTGCTTTCTTTTTTAAACTTTGAATACGGTAAAAATTGCAAAGACCTGACCAATTTGGCTCTTATAGGTTGCGGCCGCCACACCCTTTGGCTCCACCAAGTTTCATAACTATGATTATCCCTCGTTTTAATTTTCTTAATTTCATTACCATTTCTTACACAATGAGAGATAGCACGCACGAGTGGTTTTGGAAGAACAGTAATGTCAAATGAGATTATTTTGATAAAGTTATTCCCATACCATATGTTACTATCAACCCATGACTGTTATCTGGCAAAAGATATACCTTCTGCAAGAATAGAAGGTAATCTTTGACTTTTTTAGAATGAAAGTGAGGAGGGTGGAAAAAGAATTCATAACCTATGAGAGAGATCATGCGTGTTGTCTATATTCATTGTGCATGTTACCGTTAATATAAATTGTCTACAAGTTCAGAGAAATCTATTGTTTAGCTGCATAATTATTGTCTAATACTTCTTGCTAAAAAGTAGAAATGACACAGGGCAGTGATATTCATGCAGGAAAAGGAAAACAGAAGACAATAACAATAATTGTGATCGTTGTTCCAATTGTTGTTTCACTGGTGCTTTTAGCTTTGGGCTGCTGCTTTTTATATAGAAAAGAAAGAAAGAATCAACATGATATTCTCAAAGAAAGCTGTAATGCGGAAAAAGTTGCACTTTTTTTTTGCAACCTCAATGAAGCATTTCCTTTGGCCAAATAACTTAAAAGAATTCAAGAAGTTAATATGGTCTTGCAATTTGAATTAGCCAAAATTGAAGCTGCAACTAACAGATTTGCTAAAGAAAACTGGATAGGCAAAGGCAGATTTGGAGAAGTCTATACGGTAAATATGTTAACTAGTACCATACTAAAAAAGAGTATCACCTGCTTTCTACTTATTTACCATATTAACTACTTCAATATATTTTTCAGGGTATTCTTCCAGATGGACAAGAAATAGCTGTGAAGAGGCTTACAGGAAGGTCCGGGCAAGGTGCAGTAGAGTTAAAAAATGAGGTTCAAGTTATAGCCCAGCTTCAAACAAAAATCTAGTGAGGTTACTAGGATTTAACTAGTACCAGCTCTTTTGCTGACTATAGGAGGGATATTTCTTCCTGATACTGATCAAGATATTGAAGGGATGGAAAACTTAAAGTCAAAAATCAAGCCATGGAGTTCTCTGTGGACCGTGATTGGTGTGTAGTAGTTAAAATACTACTGAACCTCCTGCTTGATGGAACTTTTTGTTGTACAAGGCAAAGGAACTGATCATATTGTTGTATTTTTTTGTATTTTATAATTGTTGTTTATAAGAAGCTATTCTTGTATATTTTTAGGCACATTTTTGTCCTAAAAACCAAGGTTTATCTAATTCGGTTGAAAAGGATGCTGATATAAAATTTTATATAGTAAACATTGTATCGTTGTATTGAACATTGCATCTTTTTCTCCTTGCAATATTTTTGAAAGTGAAATGACATTATTAAAAAGAAGGGAAATATTAATCTCATGTCACATGAGACAACAAGTCTCTCCTACACACTCAAAAAGGTATGGGTCCCACTTTAATATTTTTTTCTCTTTCTCCGTGCAATGGGACCCACTCAAAATTGTGAGTGCAACATGAGATAACATATCTTGTGTTGCATAAGAAAATATAATCTCTAAAAAGAAACATGGCCACTAATATGAAAAATTTAATACAAGAATAAACCAAATTACAAAAATAATTATATCAATAATACAATATGTCTTATACCAAGTAAAAGAAATAATAAATTAAATGATAATCATGTAACAGATGTCATGTAACCCAAAATAAAAAAACAACAACTAAAGTCAATGTAATTTTTTCTCTCTACATGTACGCTTATTATGTCCTCGTTTCTTGCAATTTTCACAAATATTAGTATTCTTTGATGCTTCTTCAATCCCACTATGAATTCTACGTCCCTGTGAGATATTGTGTGACTCCCTTTTTCGACCTTTCGTTTGTGAAATGTTAGGATCATTCAATCTCATCATAGATGACTCTTCAGCTTGAGAACTCAAGTAATGTGAATCAAAATCCTCAAGACCAATACTCTCATTAGGTCTTGGAAATTTTTCTAAAGATTCAGTGAGAGAATCAAGACCATCACAAGCGAATCTAGCTGCTTCATTGGACCTATCTGCAAGCTCAATAAGTTTTGAAACTCTAGAGCGTATTTCAAAGCCGCGAAGGAGTCCCTCTCCATCAAAATTACAAATGTATTTATTTGTACTAATTATATCATTTCCTTCCTTGCTCCAGCGTCGCAAAATCATATGTTCAGGGATCTGCTCAACATTTTCAACCAAAAAAATAGAAATAATATGCTCACATGGGATTCCCATGAACTCAAAATACTGACAAGAACATCTTGCTTCTTTATTTTCCAGCTTCATCTTCACAGTTGCAGAATAATCCTTCTCTTTCCTATTAAAAACTCGATAGGTAACCCACTCACCATCATCTCCAATTTTCTCCTTAGAGAGACGAAAATTATGAGAAAGCACATCACTAAACTTTGTGAAAATTGCACGCGTGTAAACCTTAGCTGCATGCTCTTCCAATAGCATATTCAATGTTAAACGCCTTTCTTTGTGCCTAGATTCAAAGTCTTGTTTTTTGAATGAATCATAACGAGCATCTACTGCTTGATTATATTTTTCTACAAATTCCTTTAAGGTTGTGCCAGATGTAACAAAACCATCAAAGAATGAATTGATGCTTTCACTACGCTGAGTGGTGTTCATACCAGCAAAGAAAATGGATCTGTTAAAGATTGGTATCCAAGACGCTTTAATTGAATAAAGTGACTGCAACCACTCATTCTCATGAAGACCATAGTTATCAAGAATATGTTGCCATTTGTCTTCAAAATCTTGAGTGCTCTTTTTTGTATGGATACAGTTATTGAAATCGCTCTTAAATGTGGCATGCTGCTGATAGACATGAGACAATTTTCTGGAAACTTTTTTGTGATGTGCCACATACAAAATCGATGTTTGCGGTTTGGGAAAACTTTGGATACTGCATTGGTAATTGACATGTCCTATAAATTCAATGACATATATAAGAATACAATAATTAATAAATGAAACAATTGAAAATATGTACTTAAAATGATTATACCTGATCAGTAATTATAGCGCTCGGGTGTTTCCCATTCATTCCTCGAAGCCATTCCTTAAATAGCCAAATAAAAGTATCTTCTGTTTCGTCTTTCAATAAAGCACATCCGAACAAGATTGACTGTAAATGATTATTTACACCAACAAAAGGTCCAAATGGCATTGAATACTTATTAGTTCTATATGTCGTGTCAAATGTGATGACATCACCAAAAAGCTCATAAGCTTTCTTGGACCTTGCATCAATCCAAAAAAAGCTTTCCATGCGATCTTCATCGTCACATTTAATGGAATAAAAGAAATTTGGATTCAATGATTGTTGTTTAGCACAATAGTTTAACACAGCTTGTGCATCTCCTGTGTTATATATTCTTCTCCTCACACTTTTTAGATGGTTATAACAATCTCGACTGTCAAATGATAACTCATCGCCTCTGAAGATAGTTGCCACTTTTCCTGTGGGCAAGCTTGCATCACTAAAGTGTTCAACCAACGATCTTGCAGCATTAGACATTTTTCTGTGTGATCTGAGATAACGAACACTCTTTGGAGTCACAAGACCATGATTATGGTTGTCGTCAAATAGTGTAATTCTCCACATTTTTGTATTTTCACTCTTATAAGCATTTACACTAGCTTCACACCCAATTCGTAATGATGATGTCTTCTTTAATTTGGTCTGACAAACTTGAGCAACATCTTTATCATTTTTTTTGGGTGGATGACCCTGTCTAGCACAAACTAGCTTGACGATGTTGTCCCTCCTTGTTCGTATTCGGATTCCGAAACCTTTTACCTTGCTACATGTTGTATACAAGTCCACTACACCCTTTTGTTCGGAAAATTCCATTCCAACCTCAATCAAAATATTAGAATTCTTTGTCGGTGTCAAGGGAACGACATTTGGAATGTTATCAATTAAATCATTCGATATGTCATCTCCTAAATGAGTAGGCATCTCTTCTATAATTTCATCATCACTGAAGTTGATGTAATCTATTGGATCATCATCCATATTCAATAAGTCATCTCCCAATTCACCAGGCATGTCATTCCTAATTTCATCATTTAAGTCATTGTAGTCCGAATGCTCATCCATAATATACCTAAAAATTTAAAACCAAGAAATCATGTGTTCAGTGTAAGCAAGGTAAACCAGATTTTGCAAAAATTAGAAGAAAAATTGCTATCCTACAAGATGTTTGCCCGTGATACAAAAGCTTCAAGAAATGAGTAAGTTCTTATATCTTGAATTTATATCTCTACTCAATAGAAATAGCACATACCAAATTGACACGATAACTTGAGGAGTGCAATATACAATTGCACCATACTGTACACAACCCTCTCTGCTAAAATAATAAGGCTTTGATGTGAGGTGTTACTCACATCCATCCACGGTAACTGGGTTATCTATCTAGATCATTGTCTCTCTAGTTTCTACAGGCTTCATAATCTCCAATTGTGAACTATTTTGCATGTGAGAATTGAAGAACTTTCCTAATAAAGGTATAGTCTATAGAGAAGATCATGCAATAATTTCAAAACAACTCTTCAAATGGATTCAGCTCTCCTTAATTTAAGCTTGGCATTCTTCTCTTCAGTTTGTAACTTCTCATTCATATTTTTTCCATGCCCTAGGTTTGGTATTTTCTGAGCTGGGTCCTCCCGCAATTGCATAAGCCATTTAAAAGTTGTCAACAAATTTATTCATAAAAAAGAAGAAAGAAAAAGCTGAGTCATAAAGCCAATTTGAATCTTCATTGCACAACATTATAGAGGTTTCAACACAAATATCAAGCTACTGTCTACAAGTTTGGAACGCTTTGTCTTTCTTTCTAAAAGGCATTTAGTACTATATATCAAATTTACACAAACTAAAATCAAGACTTTCAAAGGTGAATCTGACAATACTTCACGTGAGCAAATGAAACTTTAACCTGACCTCAACACCTATATTGATGGTTATGACCAATCAAAATGAAATTTCAAAAGAAAATAAAACTGTCAAGCGGCAGCGGCAGTGAATTAGAGGGGGAGGCGCGGCGGCCGCGGCGGAGTGCGCGATGGTGCCAGTAGATAGTATGTTGAGATCGGATCTGGAAATCTCTGAGTTGCTCCACAAGTTTGAAACGGCAGCGGCAAGGCGGTGGAGTGGGCGGCCGCGCGACGGCGGCTATGGGCGGCGGTGGATTAGAGGGGGAGGCGCGGCGGATCAGAGAGAAAGCGAAGAGAAGGGAAGAGAGAGTGTGATCAGAGAGAAAGGGGAGAGAGAGAGGGAAGTGAGGGTTTATATAAGGATTAAATCTGGATCGTTAGATCAAAAATCTAATTTAACGGTGAGATTGACTGGTTGTCACATGGGTGTAACATGACTTGGTTGTCATAATATCCTATCCCTATATATATATATGTGTGTGTGTGTGTGTAGAAAAATTATTTTCTTATGTTGCATGAGAATTCAATTCTCATGTTGTGACTCTTCGATTTGTGTGCAAAGTTTTTCTTTTATCTTTTTTTTTAATAAATGTGGGTTCACCACTAGTTGAGTCACAGCATGAAAATTCAATTGTCATGCAACATATATATATGGAAAAAAAAGTTTCTAAAGTTACTTTAGACAAACTTGTCTAATATTCACTGAAACGACGTAGTTTCAGCATTGAAAGATTAAAAAATTAGATTGATAAAAACTATTATAACCCTAGAATAAATTAAAATTACAAGCACACCATGATTTCCATCCCAAAATGACGTCGTTTCAGTGAACATTAGACAATTTTTTCTAAAGTAACTTTATATAAAAACAAGCCTATGTGTGTGTGTGAAAAAATATTTCTCCTGTTACAGGAGATAAAGTTCTCTCTAATAACTCCAAAATTACGTCGTTTTGAGAATTAATGAGGGGCACTTTGGTAATTTTGTTCGTTTCTTTATTATATAAATTTTATCAAAACACTCCTCATTAATTCTCTCAACCCTCTATGTAGTTTTGCGTTACAGGAGATAACTTTATTGCATATGACAAGAGAAATGATAAACTCATATATATATATATATATATATATATATATATATATATATATATATATATATATATAGAGGTAAGATCCTTTGACACCAGTATCAAATTTGAAATTTGACACCTCATCTGAGAGTCATTAGATCAAAAAAGATCAATGGTGTCACATGCTTACAAATCAGAGCCATTGATCTTTTCTGATCTAATGGCTCTCAGATGAGGTGTCAAATTTGACACTGATATCAAAGGATCCTACCTCATATATATATATATATATACAATTGGTTTTTTCTGCAGTGAATGCAGATAAATTATCTGCATTGATCCCAAACGACTTCGTTTTGAGTAAAAATCAAGGTATTTTCGTAATTATAATTTATTCTAGTGTTATAATAGTAATTATCATTATAATTTTTTAATATTTCAACCTAAAATGACGTCGTTTTAGAAGTGATTATAGATAACTTATCTGCATTTACTATAAAAGCATTAAAGTCTTATATATATATATATATATATATATATATATATAGTCATGAAAAAGAAAGGAATATAATTGTAAGGTTTTTTTTAACTTTTTTTAAAAAAGTATCATACTCTTTTTTTCTTAAAACAAAATACATATTATGTATAATAAAAGTTTTGGATTTATAATAGTTACAAACTGAATAGTAAAAGTTTTTTGTTTTTTTGGGCAAAGTGAATAGTAAAAGTTATATCATAAAAGCTACAAAATTCATTTTTTTGTAATTTTTATTATTCAATTTATAATTCTAAAAAAATAACCTCGTACTTTTTTTCAGAGAGAATACCCCTATAATCAGCCATTATGATTCCCTCCTTTAATTATTATGTTTCTTGATATCGAATTCAAAATATAAATAAAATTGAAAATGAACTGTATCATATGTTATTTAACATGAACATATTATGTAAATATGTTAAGTAATGTATAAGAGGATTAATTACCAACAAAATTTTGATTGAAACTTAGCTTCCGATTAAGCCACCTGATACCCACTTTCGAGTTAAGTGCCTTTATTTGTCAAGCTATGGATAATAGACAAAGCAACACATTCAAAGTAAATTTAAAAACAAACTAACCAATTAAGACAGAATTAAACTATGGCTTAGCTTTTTCTGCGGTTACCGCAGATAAGTTAGCTGCAGTAAATCTAATATGACATCGTTTTGAGATGAAAATTATGATGTTTTTATAATTTTAATTTATTTCAAAGTTATTATATTCTTTATAATTATAATTTTTTAATATTTCAATCATTTTAAAAATAAATACAGATAATTTATTTGTAATAAGTACAGAAATATTTTTCAGTTAAACTATTTTTCAAAAAAATACAATCAGTTGTCTATAGGAGAAATGTGCAATTAGTTGCGCATAATGGGACAAGTGCCACACAAAGAGATGCAGACAGTGCTGCCATGGAATGATGCTGTTGGTACAAATACTTTAGGTTATAATTAGTACAAGTATTGTTAATAAAGCTAAACCGATGAATCGATCATATAACCGATTCTAGTGAAATAGTGAACTAACTATGCATTGAATCCCGTGTGATCCGATGTGATCCAACTGATTTTGATGAAAATTGGTGATGCCATCCAATTTATTTTTAAAAAAATTCAAAAAAATCATAATTGACATATTTGAATAATCTGTTACTTATTGACTTACATAGATTATATACTTACAATACTAATATTATCTCAGTTATGCAATATGTAAGAAATTTTGATTTGATTTATAATTAAAGATGTCATTTACTAAATCTGAAACACCAATATCACAAGTATTATAATTTATATGTTTGTTTGATCTTTTTTTGGACAATAATGTGTAATTTATTATTTTTTATATTAAAATATTTAGAATTTATATTATTTTTTCAGCTATTTGAATATGTTTATAATTTTTTTAATGTAAATTATAGATTTACATATACTCACCGAGTCATACAATTGAACCAGTAATCTAACACCTCGACTGAATTAATGAACGGACCGGTATTAATCACTTCAAACGATGGTAAAAACCATATGAAGAATGGGTTTATCATCCATCACTTGTGCTATTTATTTTCCTTCAATTGTTTAACAATAGCAGTATCCAGGTTTTTGCTGACAAATATGGAGTACACAAATTCAGTTTCCCATAACCCTAAACTCCAAAGACAGGAAGGCCTTCTCTTAACACTCCATTCCATATCAAACCGGCTTTGGAGTAGACTGCTCAGATTTCACCATCCCACAATTCTTCAAGAGATCTGTAGCCACCATAAGTTTCATGGACGAATGTTGTACCCCTGATTAATCTTGCCTGCAACAACAAATTCCACTGTCATAAAACTTGACCATGTCTCCATGAAAGTAAAGAAGACCTTCCACATCATAATATCATACTTAATCAACTGACAAGAACCAGCCCTTACCAAGCTTCTACTTAAAATGAATTCCAATATCCAGCCCAAAATATAGGGGTAAAATCAAGTAGGTAATCCAAAATCAAGACTTCTATATAGTTGGTTACATGGCAAAGAATTTCCTAATCGTTTTTTTTTTTTTTTGAGTTTTACTGGTTCACACTTCACAGGTAGAGCACAATATAAATATAGCTAATATATTCAGGTCTTAAAATACTAGAAAGACTGAGGATAAGCACCAAATACTTACCTGTTGCATCTCAGAAAATTTAGCCAATAATTCCTCGGGTATAGACCAGTCAAAAACATCAAAATTCTCCTTTATCCTTGCTTCATTTGTACTCTTGGGAAGCACACTATGGCCCATTTGCAGTCCCCAGCGAAGAGCTACCTGTGCAGGAGTCTTGCCTAGTTTCTCCGCAATCATATTTAGAACAGGATGCTTAAGGACATCACTTTTAAGCCAGTTTGTTCCAGGGGAACCCAAAGGTGAATATCCCTAAGTAAAAGCAATTAAAAAGACAAAGTCAGACCCAAAGATCACAATTTAAAAAGACAAATTCAGACCTAAAGATAATGTTTCATGCCAACCATAATTGTCATAATCGGGATTTGGATGGTAGGATTGATCCTACAATCTTTTGGCCAAAAACGATCTGAATAGCAAGGAGGATCCTTATGGAGCAGGATTTGTGAAAATAGCCACTAAAATGTGCACATGCAAAATAAAGTCATTCATGATTTGTGAACTTACAGAGAGATGGACACCTTTGGTTTTGCAGAAAGCCTGCAGCTTGTCCTGCTGCCATGAAGGATGACACTCAACCTGGTTGACAGCAGGAGGAACACGAGCAATCTCCAGCAAATCCCCCAGCTTCTTGGAGGAGAAATTGCTTACTCCTATAGCCCGTGCCTTGCCCGAGTCATAGAGTGCTTCCATTGCCCTCCATGTGCTAGGTATGTTAGGTTGCACAAGATTTTCAGGCTTAAAGCCCCCTGATCCTTTCTTCATAGGAGCAGGCCAGTGGATCTGAAAGGAAGAATCAAAAGCTTACGACTTAGTATGTCATAAATAAACTATCTATTAATAGACCAAATTTTGAAATAATTAGATAAAATTAATCCTACATGGTACATGCATTGAAAAAAAAAAATCCCGGCACAATGCAGTATGCAGGAAGTGCTAATTTATGGTCGGAAGACTGAATATACATGTGGTGGGTAAGGGTGTGCATAACAACCATTTTCTTGTTTGGCCCTGTTTCTGGAGAGAAAAATTTTAAAACAGAGAAAGATTGGCCGTAAAACAATCATCAATTATGCACAAACTTTTTAACACCAAACAGTTAGAGAATTTATGGAGATTGAGTGATATTACATACAAGATACAAATCTATATAATCAAGCTGCAAGTCTCTCAAAGTCCTGTCCAATGCTAGCGGTACATCTTCTGAAGCATGATCAGTATTCCTGTAGATCATCTCAAATCCTTGAGTTCTGAACAGTGAAGACTAACAAATACATGAATCTACCAGCATTATTAAATTATCATAAACATGGAAACCAAACTAAATAATCTAGAATCTAATAACAAACCAGAGTTTAGAAGTAATCCACAGATCCTCGCGCTTCACTACACCCTCCTCAAACAGCTTCTTCAACACAGAGCCGATCTGCAATAGAAAGAACGCATCATTCTCTTCACACATAAGACACGACCAAAATACTTCTTTTAATCATTTACTATCAAATAGCTAGTTAATGCTTTTGAGTCGAGATAACACGAAACAAAACGAACACAACACAAACAAACACCTAGTTGTGAGAATTACCTCTTTCTCGTTGCCATAGATTTGAGCACAATCAATGTGGCGGTAACCAACCTGTATCAAAATATCATTATATTGAAATATGAGATTTCCAAACCATGTAAGAATGAAAACTGATAACACATTAGCTCAAAATAATGCTAAAAGAAACAAAAAGATTTGTTAGCAGAGTGATTAATAGCAGAAACAAACATCAAACAAATTGAACAAGCCCTATCAAATTCAACAGAAATAATTTTAAAAAGGAGGAAAAGAAAAAATGCGAATCAAATTCAACATGAATATGGATTTATAGGGAAACCTTGATGGCAGCAGCGACAGCCTCACCGACGAGGCCAGGATCGGACTGCCATGTTCCCAAACCGACGGAAGGGATCTTAGCTCCGGTGTTGAGATCGAAGAACCGAATCTCGTTCGACATTTTCTCGGTATCCAAACAGATTGTTAAACCCTAGCGAGAAAATGCTTCTACGTCTTCGCTTTAGAATTTAGAAGCAGATAAAGTTAAGTAAGAAAGGAACAAAAAAATAAATAAAAGGAATCTCTAAGTTTCCTGTGGAGCGGGAGTTTTCAGAAGGTTCGATTCTGGCACGTTATCAGAATGAGCATAGTAAAAATAAAAGAAATTAAAATAAAATATTTTAGAAAAATGTTTCCCTCACATTAAATGCGACAATTTAGTCTCATGCGAATATAAAAATTTGGGTTGTGACCCATTTTTTCTTCTTCTCTTTTTAATGAATATCATCTATTTTTTTTATATATTGCATCAAATAAAATTATCTCACGTGACATGTGAAACATATTCCGCTATGTTTTATTGTAATGAAAACAAAAACCATATTGCAAAGGTCTGTACAATTATTTTAAGACCTGATTGTTGGTGAAAATCCTCTCCATAATGGTAAAGGCTTGAGTATATTTCTTTAACAAGATGGCACAACCAACTTTTGTATCTGCAATGCTTCATCTTTGAAGACTTAAACCCCTGTATAAAATCTACATTAAAGCCCAATTTGGTAAGGCATGAGTAAGACATTTGTGAATCAAGTCCTTGAACCTGTTCCAAGCTTCATGGAATGGCTCATCCGTATATTGGCTGAATAAAGTTATGTTATCTCTCAACTCACTCACTTTAGTAGGAAGGAAAAATTGCATCAAGAATTCTTCTCCAAGCCCTTTTCAAGTGGTGATTGATTGTGGAGGCAAGCTTTTAATCCATTCTTTAGCTTTTCCACTTAATGAGAATGGAAATAATTTAATCCTCAAAGCATCTTTAGTTATCCTATGCAAACCATACATGCATCTTTGTAAATGTTTCATACATCTCCATGAACTTTCGAATGTGCTTGTTAGGATCCTCATTGGGCAAACCATGATGATATTGAGTTACTGACTGAAAAAGTTGAAGCATGATCAGATTCAATTCAAAGTTCTGATGACAGGTCGCAATATTCCGTGAATAACTCCATCTAAAGATGGTATAGCGTACTCTGTGATGGGCAACTTGTCATCAACCTCAGCTAAGCCCATATTAGGAGCATGATTCTTATCTCCATGTTTCTCAACAAGTGCCATCCTTCTTAATTCAAGTTGCTTTCTTTTCCTCCTCCTAAAAATTCTTCAATTTCAAGATAGTAGGATTCTAAGAATGAGTTTGAAAATTGTTCTCATTTTGTTATTATCGCTTTATTATCATTAAAACATATATTGTATCTACAAAAACATAGGTTGATCGGGCATTTATGTGGGCGACAATCGAAAAATTAGTCTACAAATTATGTGAGACATTTTGGCAGTTTACCATTGCGCCACGATCCATTAGGGGTTTGCAAAAAAATTGGTTCACTTGCCCTGCCCTTGATCCGACCTTGACCTGAACCTTAAATACCAATATTTTTTGAACTGGTTTAAATACTGACTCACTTTTATTTGGGTCAGTTTTAGACCTGATTTGTTTTAATATTGACCCAAAACTTGACCCATACCCATTATGTGAAAAAAAAAGAAAAAAAAATCACAATTACATTAGAAGAAAAATTTTAACGTAAAACAATTACGTCAAAATTTTTTATAAAAAAAATTCCGCAAAAATTTTTGACGAAAAATATTTTCATCAAAATTTGTGACTAAAAACATTTCTATAAAAAAATTTGACAGAATATTTTTTTTGTCAAATTTTTTTATAGAATCTAAATTTCGTCAAAATATTTCATCAAAAAATATATTCATAAAAAAATTTGAAGAAATACATTTTCATCGAAATTTTTTGAAGGAAATTTTTTTTATCAAAATTCTTTACAGATTTCAAATTTCGGCGAAAGTTTTCGATGGAAACATTTTCGTTAAACTTTTTGACAAAAAAAAAATTTCATCGAAATTTTTAGCGAAACACATTTCAATCAAAAAATTTTGACTAAATATTTTCGTCAAGTTTTTTCATAAAAAATATTTCCATCCAAATTTTCAACGAAACACATTTCAGTAAAAAAATGTCGATAAAAAATTTTGACTGAAAAAATATTTTGTCAAAATTTCGTCGAAAGTTTCGAATGAAAAATTTCCCTCAAAACGATTTCCTTCGAAAATTTCGACGAAACACATTTCCATCAAAAAAATTTGACGAAAAAAAATTTCATCAAAATTCTTTACAGATTTCAAATTTCGGCAAAAGTTTTCGACGAAAAAATTTTCATTAAACTTTTTGACGAAAAAAAAAAATTTCATCGAAATTTTTAGCGAAACACATTTCCATCGAAAAATTTTCAACTAAATATTTTTGTCAAAAATTTTCATAAAAAAATAATTTCATCGAAATTTTCAATGGAACACATTTCTGTATAAAAAAATTCGTAAAAATTTATGACAAAAAATATTTCGATAAAAAGTTTTGACGAAAAAAATATTGTTAAAATTCTTTATAGAATCTAAATTTCGTCGAAAGTTTCGGATGAAACATTTCCCTCGAAACAATTTCCGTCGAAATTTTCGTTAGAACACATTCCCATCGAAATTTTGAACGAAAAACATTTCGTCAAAATTTTTGACAGAATTCTTTTTTCGTTTAAAACATTAGATGGAAGAAATCATTTTCGTTAAAACTTTTGATGGAATCTAAATTTCGATAGAAAAATTATTTTGTAAAAATTTTCATTAGAGAAAAAATTTCGTCGCTTTTCTACAAAAAGTATTCCGACGAAAAAATAATTTTCTGACAATATTTTCGTCGTTTGCAACGTAGAAATTTTGACGAAATTTTGTGAGGAAACCAAGTCAAAAACGGGTCAGATCAGATTTGGCTCACTTCAGAAACCAAGTCAGACCCACTTCAAAAACCAAGTCAGGTCAGATCCGACCCGGTTCTGAACTAGTTCAACAAAATCCAAACCAAGTCAGACTTGACTTGAATCAAATTAAAGCGAGTCGAGTCAAAATACCTGACCTATAAAAACCAACTTGGGTCGAGTCGGACAAAAACCTGACCCGACCTGACCCATGCACAGCCCTACGATCCATAACAATTTGGAAATAACTTTAAAAAATTAAATAATAAAATCATTAATACTTTAGATTTATTCTAGATGAATAGACTAAATTTCATAATGCGAATTTACTGTCTATGAAAGCAAAACGGAAACATCTATTGAAATAATCATTAAATTTTAACAATTAATTAAGATTAGTTCAAAATTCATGGTGGTGCTTTACCAAAGTTAAAAACAATCATGTATACAAAAAAGAAAGGAAAAAGTTAAAAACAATCAATATTAAAATAAATTACTAGAACAGCTCAACAGTGAACATGTACATATATAAACAATATAATAAGAAATGCACATAATATAAAATTACTAACGCATTTTTACCAAAAATTTATAAGAGTTATATTGTAGGAAAAGTGATTGTGTAATGTTATAGGGCAAAAAAATTAAAATAATGCATTTAAATTAAATAATTACGCATTTAATGTTGTTTTGTAAAAAATTACACATCTACTGCACAATGTGACGCCACTTTTGGGCGTCTTCTCCAGGGGACAGATGCCCCAATGGGGCGTCACATGTGACGCCCAAAAGTGGCGTCACATGTGTGCTCTATATATTTCCCCACCCCTCCATTCAATTCACACCTCTTCTCTCACTCTTCATATATCTCTTATCCACCAACATTCCTTTATCTTTAATTTAGTATTTGAATTTTATTTCTTATTCTATTTAAAAATGAGCTCAAATCCTGATTTTGTTCGTGTTGTGTTATATTACAATGGTAGGAAGGTAGAAGGTCGACGATGTGTCATTTTCGAAGGTGAAAAAAGGCCGACACGTATCCGACGCAACACAACCATTGGCGAACTGCATCAGAGAATTCGGCAGAAGTTAAGTCTTCCAGACAACCAATGTATCACTGAGATCACGACAAGGGTGTGGCAAGGTGATAAATACATTAGTTTGAAAGTGCTTGACGATGAAGACTTAGAGATGACAATGGAAGAATTTTGCAACCAGTCAAGGACAGATTTTCTAGAGTTGTATGTCGACATCGCTTCAAACGAGAATGCTCCATACCGGTGAGGTCAGTTTATTTAAATTCTCCCCGTCTTCCAGCTTCTCTTGCCGCTCATGCGTCTCCAGTTTGTAACTTTTCTGAGGGAGATGAAAATGATCCGACTTGGGAAATGCACGACGAAGATGATGATGACGACGATGAAAATATGGCAATTGAAGAACGTCTTCTGGCGGAGGATGCTAGTGCTTCAGAAGGAGATGAATCCCGTGAGATGGGTGCGTCTCAAATCCCAATATTCCATGAACCAGTCGTCGCGCAAATGCCGCAGTTGAATGACGTTGCGTCTGCCCCGTTCGGTATTCACCATGAAGGTAATTGCTCCCATTTGTATATAACTGAATAGATAACTGATTTAATACCTGAATTAGTAAGTTTGTATTAAAAAATTATAATCCGCAATTGCAGTTGACACAGATGTTATTCCTTTTTGGGAAGAAATTTCGCATTATTCCTACATTGATTGGAGTGATCAGAGCGAACAAGAATCATGTACTGATGGTTCTGTCTCTGGATCGGCTTCAATACAAGGTCTGTGGCAACTGGGTGACATGTTATTTGTCAATCAAGAATTTGCAACAAAAAAATATGTCCAAATGGCACTTAAGCACAACCTCATTAGGGAGCATCAAGAAGCCATTGTAATTGAGAGCACGCCTGCAAAGTTGTCTATGAAATGTTGTGCGTATGATCAAGGTTGTCTGTGGCGCGTAAGGGCGATCAGACCGGTGTTTCGTAAAAATTGGAAGATTACGAGATGGGGTGGAAAACACGAATGTGTGAATGAGCACATTTCCCAGGGTCATAGACAGCTCGATGTGGACGTTATTGCAGATCTCGTCATAGGTACGTATTTATTTACCGAGTTGACATGTCAATGTGTAAATTCGTTCGATGTTATCGAGGCTCTGGTATCCTCTTTAATGCAGGGATGATAAAGTCAGAACCATCTGTGTCAATCTCTTTGGTGCAAGAAAGGATAACTGCTAAATATGGCTTTCAAGTTTCCTACAGAAAGGCGTGGTATGCGAAGCAAAAAGCGATGGCAATTATGTACGGTGATTGGGAGGAATCGTATGCTTTTTCGCCAAGGAGGTGCGAATACATGCTTCATTTTTCTCCAGGTTCATTTTATCATATACAAACAAATGATCTTTATGCGGAGCAGAGCTTAGTTTCTGGAAAAAAAGGTTTTTCATCGCATTTTTTGGACGTTTAGACAGTGTTGTGAGGCATTCAAATTTGCCAAACCCGTCATACAAATTGATGGAACACATTTATATGGGAAGTACAAAGGGAAATTGTTGGTGGCCACAACCCAAGATGGTAATAATGAAGGCGAAACTTTGGAAGCATGGGATTATTTTCTCGTTAATATTCGTGCTCATGTTACTACCATGTCAAACATATGTTTGATATCTGATCGGCATCGAAGCATAATATCTGCTGTGGAAAATAACCCTAATTGGCAGCCGCCAAATGCATATCACGTCTTCTGTATTCGTTATATTGCAAGCAATTTCAATCAAAAGTTTCGAAATGAAGATTTGAAGCGGATGTTAAAGAATTTAGGTATACTCATTGACACGATGCGTAATTATTTCTTTCCATTATACTATGAATTTATGTTTAATTCGTTCATGTCCAATTTGTGCAGGTTATACTCCATCAATGGTTGATTTTGAAAGGAATCTCGCGAGTTTCCGTGAAACTAGTCCTCAAATTGCTGAGTGGATTGATGCGATTCCTAAGGAAAAAGTGGTCGCGCGCCTACGATATTGAAGGACGCAGGTACGGTCATATGACAACAAATTTGGCTGAATCTGTCAATAGGGTTTTTAAGGGGGCCAGAAATATGCCTATAACAGCATTGGTTAAGCATACATATAGTCGATTAGTTGCATATTTTGTTGAGAGAGAGGAACAAATGCTATTGCACAACTTCAATCAGCTCATCGTCACTCTAAAGTTGTTGTTGAATTGGTCAAGAAGAACCAGGTAGATGCAACAGGCCACCACGTTCGTGCATACAATGTTGAACATACTGTGTTCGAGGTTGACGCAGGTTGGGAGCGTTCATATTCTGTCAACCTCCCACAGAGATTCTGTCAGTGTGGAAATTTCAAGGCATTTAAGTATCCGTGTAGTCACGTCGTTGCTTCTGCGTTAAGTGTTAGGCAGAGTGCGTTCACTTATGTTGACGACGTCTTTTTGATAACTAACTTGGTCGAGGCTTATTCTTTTCCGTGGGAGCCAATCGGAAACGAGGAAGCAATACCTGAAACGACGTAAATAACATACCTGAATATGTTGCATCCTGGCAACATGTATGAATCCCGCCTGTCTTAGGTACTCTTCGACAACCAGTGGAATAGCACCGGTAAGTGGCCCCCCTTGTGGCTTCCCACGTCTGGTCTTAATTTTTCGTACATGCTCTGTATTCCACACTCGCTATGAAATATGCGCTTTTCGCGTCCTCTTTCGAAGGACCTCCCACCTGTACGGCCCAGGGATGATCCACATGCTGGGATCGGTGGCTCTACATTCGACTCAGATCCCGATGAAGATGATGACTCAGCCATTATCCTCAACTATATAATATAAAACAACATTTAAATTAATCACATGTAACAATCCATTTTATTTACAATTTAGTTAAGCAGTGACATAATTGATTATCACAAAAATTAAGCATATGCGTCATTTATTTAACTAGAATCGAAATTTATGAAGTCCCGCCAAAACGTAGAACAGTTATTTATTTGCAATTAAATAATAATAATACATCGGACAAAAATAATATAATACTAACTGAATACTTAACCCTAGGTCACTACCAACTTGTCCAATGCGTACTAATCATCACACCTAACTAACTACAAAGTTATGCACTCCCGCATTAATAACATCATACATACGAAATTTACGAAGTCCCTAACACTATTTATAAACCACTAATTAATATGCTAAACCCTAATGCATAATTAAAATTTAATAATAATAACTATGTAATAATAAAATTACTATATCATTACAACATTCATAGCATGCCACAAAATTTCTAAGTGACTATCCTAATGTTCCAAGTATCTAATATACAATCAATCCTAACATGTATTACTAACTAGCACTGTTATTTAAATGTATACATATGAGGTATCATGACCTTACCTACGGGAGCGTCTCATTGTGCAACAGATGTGTAATTTTTTACAAAACAGCATTAAATGCGTAATTATTTAATTTAAATGCATTATTTTAATTTTTTGCCAATGTTATAGAGATTAATTTTACGTGCCGTAATTTTCTTTTTTTCTTGTTTTTTTCAAAAGGTGTGGACCCCACGTAAGAAAATTTGTTGTGTCATGTTAAATGACAATTGCAAACCCCTCTCACCAATCAACTTAAACTTTTTGGGCCTGTCCTTCACCTTGATGGCCATCAACAAAAACTTCTCGCAACTTGCACATAAGAAATAAAACTAGGCATGCCATGATGCTGTTGTCCAATGAAAGTTAATTTCTGGACTACATCATATAAACGCGGAATGTTAGGGTGGCCGACCGGAAGACTCTAGAGTAGAGAGAGCGAGGATGATTTTGGTGAGGTGGGGTCTGCCGTGGGATGCGTGCCAACTGAGAATAGTTCTAGAAATTATGGTTTTTGAGGGTTGATGCACTTCTCAAAATATAAAAAACCAATTCAATTAAAAAATTTGAACCATTAAGTGATAACACTTTAATGGTTATATATTTTATGTTATATGTATCTTAAGAGAAATAACAGACGGGAGAATGATATAACAGGACGGGGAACATGGGGCTTCAGTTTGAAACAAAAAAATTTCTTAATCAAGCATATGTCATAAGATCCCTAGGACATGAAATAATATATGCTCATTTATATGACGAAGAAAATGCTTCTAATATGAGGTTAGACAACACAAACTTAGGAAAACATAAATTAACTATTCCAACTAGGAATAAGATATCCCATGACCAAGATCAAAACCCACAAATCTCATTATTAATGTAAACTCCAAATCCCCAATAACATAATAATTCTCAACTTACAAGTACATGGTAGATTATTACAATAATCATAAAATCAGCCCGTTCTGCATTGAACAGGAGAAAAACAATGGTCAATATGGAATCTGCCCATTACTCGCCATCCCAGAGTTCTTCAGTTGTTTTGTACCCAGCAGATGTGGGGCTAACGAAAATATCCCCAGTAACTATTCTCTCCTGTTTCAATAAATCAGAAAGTTGAAATGAAACAATGTGTGTATACTATCACTTAAGTTTCTTAAACTACTTGGATTTGCCTTTGCACATAAACTAATTTAGAAATATCAATATACTTGGAGTAAATTTTCTGTACTCTTACTACATACATACTCCCCCACTAATATTTGAAATAAGTGGACTGACGTGACATTAAAAAAAAAAAAGTGGGTGGAATAAATGTAGTTATGTTAATCATGTTTTACTAATTTTAATAGGTGGTGCGTTGAGATCTCAGTACTAGAAGAATACTCAAAATGTATTCCACTACTTGTCTAGCAATTAAAATGCTAAATGAAAAGTACAAAGCTCTTGCATGAAGTGACTTGCCTGCTTTATTTCAGAGAAGCTGGCTAGCAAATCTGCGGGTATAGACCAGTCAAATAGATCAAAGTTTTCCTTGATCCTCGCAGTATTTGTGCTCTTGGGCAGTACACTGTGACCCATTTGTAGTCCCCATCGAAGAGCTATTTGCGCTGGGGTTTTCCCCAGCTTCTCTGCATTAATGTGCAGAACTCGATTATTAAGAATGTTACTCTCACTGAGTCCTTTACCAAGTGGTGAATAAGCCTGAATAAGAACATTGATAATGGTAAGAAGTCAGCGAAATAGCAGCTCATAATCATAAAAAATTTCTAACGTTATACTCAAATTGCTACAAAATGTCTACTATATCAATAGTTCCTTCAAGTCCTTTATATTCTGTTACAAAACTAGCCATATGGAAGGTCTGCTCCGGTAGGAGTATAACTCAACAATAATAAAAGAGAGGTCATGAGAGTTATGGCAGATGTTATGAAATAAATTTTAGATATAAGTAGGAACTTCTTACAAGATAGACTAGCAATTGTTTCGTGAGTGTTTGGCTAAGAATCTTCCTCATATTTAGGGTCAAGTCCCTCGGCAAGAGAGTGCTCTTGTATCCTTTGCTTACTTTAAGAAAGAAAATCTTCCTTTTTCTTTTTCTTTTTTTAGTTCTAACAGTCAATTCTTGAATTTTTATATTAACCATAGTCATATTCATACATATGTAATCACCCATAATTATCATGCACGACCTTAACTTTGCATACTCACAGATAAGTGCACTCCCTTGGATTCACAGAAAGCATGTAATTTTGGCTGCGGAAGTGAAGGATGCAATTCCACTTGGTTGACAGCTGGAGGCACATGCGCCACATCCAACAGATCCTGAAGCTTCTTTACAGAGAAGTTGCTGACCCCTATAGCTCGAGCCTTTCCAGAATTGTACAGTGCCTCCATTGCTCTCCATGTGCTAGGTATGTCAGGTTTGGTAAGTTGTCCATTTTTCATGCTAACTGGCCAGTGTATCTACAAGAGCATATATATGGCCAAGAAAGTCTTAATATAAGAAATTGACTTCAGAAACACTGTTCAAAACAGAACAGAAATTGATGTAGGAAGAAATTAATTTCATTGTGATTTACACACTAGGTAGAGATCCACATAGTCCAGTTGCAAATCCCGCAAAGTTCTATCAAATGCCTTTGGGACATCTTCTGGCAAGTGATCGGTACACCTAGGACGTGTCAATTAAAATAGATAATAAATAAATTAATTACGGGCATCAAAATGATAACATATGTTTTAAAGAACAAATTAGCAAGAAAAGTTCTAATAAACCCCAGAATTCTGTAGACTTTGTTATTAAGAAAGTCCTTCCCTTTTTATAGAAATTGTTCAAGCATCTAAACAATAACATATGATCAAAATAGTACTTTGATTGAAAAAAGAGGCAGAACTATAGGCTTTACTAAGAGATGGCTAATCTGGTAGATTCATAGATAATGAAAAAATTAGGTAAAGGTTAAAAAAAAATACTATCTGTAGTAACTTTGAAGAATTGAAAAACACCAAAATATAGAACAATAATTTGCTACTGTAAAAATCATTAATGATGCTAATCTCAGAATTTCTCCTCTTTCTGTACAAGGATAAATTGAGCAATGATTTAACTCGCAAAACTTAGGTAACGTAATAAAATTCAATAACTTCAAATTAAGAATCCTTTCAAATAATAGGAAAGATAATTCATGAAAATATTGTGGGAATCTCACCTATTAAATTGAGTTTTCAATAAATATGGATTAAGAATTAGAGTAACGACGCTCAAGGAATCTCCTATAGTAACTGAATGCATAGATAACCTTAGCAACAAAGTAGTTAAACGGATATAGAGAAGAACATATAAAAAAAGACAAACCACAGCTTGGAGGTGATCCACATATCTTCACGCTTAACTACACCATCAGCAAACAACTTCTTCAAGGCATCACCAATCTATTTAGAATTTACAATACGTTAATAGATAAAGAGAGTGCCACAACAGTGTAATAGTAAAAAGGGGATAAAGACTGCAATAGTAACTATACATTTAAATTCTACAACCAACATAATGAATGGTGAATTTCACTTTATGGTGGCCCTAAAAGTTGTTAACTGTTAGTTCTTGCTTTAATCCGCAGAATGTTTGCAGGAAAGGGAGGAGGAAAAGAGGAAAAGGCCTCCACTGGCCCCAAAAGAGGGGCAAAGAAGACGGAGGCATGGAGCATATGCACCCAACTCTATTTAGGGGTGTAACAGACCTATTCTTCAGAATGAATATCTTGTAAATGAGCTAAATAAAAGTTGTTTTTTATTTTTTGTTTACGATAAATAAACAAATTCAAACTAAATCTTCACTTTGCAACAAAACAAGCTTGAGTGGAGCATAAACCTAGACAGTGGACAAGCTGAGCATGTTTAGAATTATAAGCAAACTTAACCACATTTTATTTCATACAAATTTAAACTTACTAAAGGGACCACATTAAATTCTAGATCCTGCAGTTTCTCATTCTTTTAGACAAAGAAGGATCTTACTATTTGCATAACTTTACACATCTCAGCTTAGTTAAATCTACTCTATTCCCTCCTTGCAGGTTACCTTCTATAAACTACAGCTAGGAGTGTAAATAGGTCACGCGGCCTATCAGTGGCCTATGT